ATATTTAAGTCGACAATATCCTCAGTCTCATGAGTGATTACCAAATCCAGCAGAGAAGAACCCTGGTTAACACCAAAACGTGTGGGTTGGGATACATGCTGCACTAGTGCATGCTCCATTATTGTTATCAGTAACCTACTATCAAAAACGTTTATAGATCCTTCTGTGGTCATATCAGTCCAACTAATATCAGGTGCGTTAAAGTCTCCTATTATCAAGCACCTGGTATTATCACTCCAAAGATGAATGTGCTCTAAAACAAAGTCATCAGCTAAGCAGATTGGGCTCCGATAGATGACACCTAGCATAAATGTACTACATCCTATTGCCAACTTACAGCTAATGACTTCACAAGTGCCGCTATCATGGGATTCGCTAGTAGAGGAGCGGATATTTATGCCATTGGCTATATATAACAGGACGCCGCCTCCTTTTCTACATCTATGTCTATCACTCCTGATGCAATGGTATCCGGATAATTCTGGAGTAATGTCTAAGTCATGGACTAACCAAGTTTCTGTCACTGCTACTATGAGTGGCTTTAACCTGTCTACTAGTGCTTCTAGTTCATAGAACTTATTTCGTAAACTACGAGCGTTGGCATATAAAACTCCTAAGTAGAACAGCCTATCCACACAGGCCTTGGTAGCATTCGCTTCCAAGACCTGACTATCCGAAAACCCACTAGCCGGAGATTTTCCTCGCCGTTTTGCCGACGGGTTTCAAGTTCAGCTAGTGCTTTCTTCCTTTTTATTCTATCTTCGAGAGACATGTCAGGTCTAACTCGGATGTCAGAATTGTCGTGACAACGAGCGCTACTTAACAAGAGATCCCGTTGCTTCTCCGATCCTAGGATTACCTTAAGGAGTCTGCATGGACGGGGTTCAACATTGTCCTCGGTCCTCTTGCCTATTCTTACCAATTTTTTGACCTGAACTCCTTTGGAGTTATCTGGTAAAATACTACGAATGTATTCTCCTAGCTTTTCTAAGTCATGCGCGTGTCTAATTTTCGGATCAGGGTCGTTTGACTCCCGCAATTTGCTCACAATAATATTCGATGTTATTAGATTTTTCTTCTCAGTCACGCCAGGATGGGTTTCACTCTTACCATCAGATTTTGGTAGTGCAATTTGTGGCTCACAATTTGAGTCCACCAGTGAGTTACTAACTACCTGTGTACTGCTTACAGCTTTTTTCTTTTCGTTTCGTTTCCTACGTACCGTAGTCCATTTTTCATCCCTCATAACACTGGGACTATTTGGAACGGTGACTGTTTTATCCAGATCTTCGGTTCCCATAAAGGTGCATTATTAACAATGTCAGTACCAGGTGGTACTACTCCCCCTGTTAATGTCAACGAAGATTTCGCTTTTACGTCGGTCAGAGTCGGTTGTTTGAGGCGTCGCGTAACAGCAAGTACTACACTGACACATTCGTCACTGTCAGTGCCCGTGTTGTCAGCGCAAATGCCATCCTTCTTATTACAGGCCAAAGCCAATCGGCTCATAGCATCCTGTATTAGTAATGCCTTGTTGGCACAGCAAAACATGCAAAGCCAATGTGAGTTAGGCTTCGAACATCTTTTGTATGCGGTGGGACTTAAGCGGGTGCACATTTTGTGGAACCACTTATGGCATTCGTCACACTGCATTCCCTCCTCCACAGGGAACAAACAGTTTGGTTGTCCACATTTGTGAGTACTACCAACCATTTTAGTCTGATCAAGGTGTAACACACAATATGATCACAGTATGAACACAAATGTCGGTCAACGAATAAAAGGTTACCACAAGAAAAGCTTTAGCAAGTTTTCAAACCTTAACGAAAGTACTTTGACACAGACCAAGAATGCTTCGAACGTAATAAATACACAAAAGCCAAAAAACTCAACAGCATATCACTTTAACTGTATTAGATTCAATTAAAGCGTAAATCGTAGTTTTGATACGTAATTTACGATCAAAACAATTTACTATTTCAACGAGAAACAATACCACTGTCCTTTTTAGATAGCGCGCGCAGGCTCATGATAAAGTTATTGGATCAAAAACAAAACATGATAGAAAACTATAATTCAACAGGAAAAACCCTCCTCAGTACATCGGAAAAACTAGTTGCGTCACAGGTGCTTACGACCAGGTTCCAACCGACCCTGAAGTCACAGAATCCTTGATTGTTCACTGAGACGAATTGCCATATCAGTAGAAGACAAGAGCCGAAATGAATCTTTACACCATAGCAAGTCATGATTCAAATGAAAAATATGACTGCGTTTAGATAAATGAAATTCAACAAAGGGTATAAAATGTATCACCTCCGATCTTGCTATTGAACACTGCTGAGTGGCATGTTTAAAACAGGAACCTACACCCAAGGCTATGTCGGCCGTTGCAGCTCAAAGCGATGGAGTAGCCAAATTGCAACAGGCTCGCACAGCAGCTCTAGCAAAAATAGAGGAAGCCCGCAATCGTAATTGTTGACGCAAACCTAATATTTACATATAGGGAGGGCAAAGCGACTCAAGGAAGCTAAAGGTGAAGCAAATCTGGAAGTCGATGCTTTCAAAGCACAACAGGAAGCTCATTATAATTCACTTGAGCTTCAAGTATGTTAATAGTTTCTATTCACGTACAATCCATAGGTTAACTCTCAATATGGTCCTTATGAGGAGGTGTGTCGTCAAATGACAGACGAACAGTTAAAGTCAATGCAACGTTCGTTCCAGACAAACAAAAATGCAGCTTTGCAGTTATTATTGTCTAAAGTCCTAGATGTAAAGCCTGTCGTCCATGTCAACTTTGGTTTTAAGAGTCCGGGATCGTAGTACGTGTATGTCCTTTTAGAAGCGGAATTAGACCAAGTGATTTACAAGCATAATATACTTCCAATTGTGATTAGTAATCTAATTATTTTAACCACTATAATAGACGTTAATTTGCTTTTTATCGTTTTTTTGATAAACCAGGCGTTGTAGAAAAGAATACAAGACTGCTGTATTTGACCAAGTACGTGTTTACATATGTATTCCCAGTATTAGTCTTGGTGGGTCATTAAAGCGCATGACCCTACACAGATAAATCCATTGGTACTGCACCATGCTACTGAAATTAAATGGTTTCAAGCAACCACGACATTTTTATACTAAAATCTGGGAGTTATAGACGAAGACTGCAGATCAAAATGAAAACCGATAGGAATCCTAATGCATCTGATCTTCTATCACTCCCTGGAGGGTTCTGGCCATTAATCTTTAGGTAGACTCCGCTGCTGACACTCATTTATCCAGAGAAGTATAAGCATACCCTTTAGCCCTGCGACGAGTCACGAAAATTTATGGGCTATTCCTAGTGGTCGTCAAGATGTTAGACCACAAAGTTTCCGAAAATTCGATGAGGTAGTATTCTTAGATGACTCTAAATGCAGTGTAATTAAGCTTGATGACCTTTGCAAATGATCATCAATAATGACATGATTTAGCCGTGAGTCGTACGATCAACACACTAATTGATTAGGTTTTGAATTACTGTGTTGTGTAGGTTATGGACCTAACTCCTTGCAACTAGTAATTATCTGACTCGTCCCGTAGTATATTTCCGAAATCGTGGGGCTGGTTAGAAAGATATATGGTTCGTTTGTAGAGGTTAGTAAAAGCGTGGTTATACGTTGATCGATGTGATGAAATTTGCAGTATTAACCTTCCAGATTGAGTATTACAGACCATGCGTCTAGTTTTGGTGTATCCAATAACCGAGTCTAGTAATAATCATCTCACTGGGATGCTAGTGCAACAGGTATTGAAGATCTTTACGTGTGAATCTCATTTCTATATTTTGGTTTCAATCATACCGTACCATTCTAAACAATGCACTTGTTAGTATCTATACTGTCCAAATAAACTTCACGCGACTGATGGAAAATAAAAAGTCTGAGGCAGTTCAAAGTGATGTCATTCAGATCAAAGTACTGTGAGAAGGCTGTGTCAATTTTACTCTATAATGGCTTCATGCACTTATTGGTATGAAGAAATAGGAATGTCGCCTACATAAAAGCAGACATAAATTATATTGACTATTTTTACTATTCATGATAGCCTGTTATTGCTTTGTACCATCAAACACAGTAGCTAAACGTCTAAACTCCTTTTCTTTTGCATTGAACCGACCACCTAGTGCACTAATTAGTGAGAAAAGATAACAACATGTGACTTTTGAAATCAGCAAACCTTAGTTAACTTCGCTAGTTGTGCCAGTCAGTACAAATGCACATAGCGTCCGCCTTGATACAAGTCATCTTCAGAAACAGTTAGGTTGTTTAGTCTCTCGAATGCTTCTGAGACTCAAAATTGGTTCGTCCAGTCCACTACAAAAATCACTGGTGTCTTCCCCCTTCGAATCCTTTGCTGTAGTTCACGTGATAAGTGGAGAACTCAGGGTTAGTTATGAAGCATTTCAACCCACTAACAAGGTATATCCATTATACAGAATCTTACACCCCCGGGCAAATTTATAAGTGATATTTTCACCCACTACTATATGCTTATTCAGTATATCTCCCGAATTCCTCAGTTTAAGTACCTTACGTCAAATGTTCAACATCTGAATCAAATGTTAGGAATTCAAGCCCATTATCGATACCGCACTACTTTATTTCCGATTCTAAAATAACTTGAAACTTATGATATGATAACTTGATACAGAGTCTAGTACGAATGCCCTTCCTACAGCCCTTTATGATGTAATCGGGACCCAAGGACTCAAAGACCTGATTACATCTTTTTAATAACACAGATCAAAGGTTTTGCGTGAAACCCAGTTAAAATAATGGGTACATTCATAATAAATATCAATGTGTTCGCAAACTATTTTAGGATGCGATGCTACCCACGATTATTTTTTCTCCAAATAAAATAAGCAATACAACTGGTTGAATATAACTGAATGACGTCTATATCAAAGTTAAATAAATCATAAAATCTTAAAGAAATATGTTCGTTATTCTCTCAATATGTATATAAGCTGAAAATCACACTAGGCACCTGAAACTGTAGTAAGTTGATGTCTCAATTATAAGTAATTGTAATAAGTTACTTGGAAGCACACTCCAAGAGAATCATATTTCAATTAAATGTAATGATGACGAAAATTATGTGCGAATTTTGTACAGGACTGATAATCTCTTGCACAAGAAGTATAAACTGAATCAGCAAATTGTTGGAAGCGTCGATTATAAATATCCTATCTCTTAAGCACTTAATAAAATATCTGCATGACTAAAATGAGGCAGCTTCTATGTATTTTACTGACTACAGACTTTGGGTTTCAGGATGAGATGATAAAGGGTTTGTGATAATCGAAGCAATTGATTATAGTCAGTCTAAATGTACCGCACAAACTACAGTGAAGAACGTTCCCAGAAAGTAAGACATCTACGCAAATCTGCTGATAATAAAATAAAACGCCAACGATAATTCCCTACTACAAGATTTGTTGAAAAACTAGACGACTGAATATAAACACTGGCGTTATGAGTACCAACACGTCTTGAGCTGTATTCCGCAATGTTTAATCAGAAATAGACAACGGCAATAGGATTCAGTGACGATACTTATCCCGACAATATGAAGTTCGTCTTGAAACCGCTAATACAGAAAACACAAGTAAAAATACATCCTGGCATCGTTTCTCAAAAACTACGCCACTTAACCGTAAAATAAGTAGAAAAGAAAATACTATGGAAGTAGAACACATCACATGATTTATCATACATCTGAGATGCTGACGTATATAATGCATAAGATCTAATGATGTCTGCTATTGACAAGTTTCTAAAAACACACTGTTTGTCAATCGAAGCATCTGAGTCGCTCTCATCTTCGCTGTATATCTCCGAGTGACTCGTATCAGTATCTTCAATTGGTGATAGCGCAGGAGTGCTATGCTGTGTACGATGGTTGGTGCCGTTTGCAATAATCGCTGATTTTATTCCGAATTGCTGATCATCATATCCACGTAAACGTTCGTAAAATAACAAATAAGCAGGACTTGATTCCACTTGTTTGAACGGTACACGTATCACATGAGCATCGGAAGTCAGTATCCATGGCGAATTATGGGCATCAGGTGTGTTTGATATTCCTTTAAAATAGTTTGAAACATATTCGTACAAACTTGACAAAATATTAACTAACCAACACGACTTTTGTTGCACATGCAATACAGGTGTGTGCCATTTACGATACGTTATATAATGTCCACACTGATGAAATGCGCCTTCATGAACAATAACTGAACGGAGTATGTATGGTTTTGGACAACTGTAATATAAAGCAAAAATGATAATATAGTTTACTAGAAAATGGTGAGAAAACATATATAAGTAACTATAATCCAATGAACCGGACTATTGACTTGTGAGTTAGATTAAGAAGAGGGTAAGTACAACTTATGTTCATTTTATGATTTATGCACATTATATGAAGAAATGAAACTTATCAAAACAAATAGTATAAACGGCAACATATAGAATAATAATACGTCACTTTTCTTCGTTGTCAACAGTGCTTAGAAACTTGGAAAACCGCTGGGTTCTAACCTTGTAGATCTCTGGCTATCAGCGGTTTACAAGATCTAGTAATAAAACTTCCAAATATTAGTTGCAACGAGTAGATTCATGAAATTACTTGACTTTTCACCATTCTTACGCTTAATTAACTTTATTTTAAAAAATACATAGTTCAAAACAGGGTAAAATAACCCATGAATAAGCTTCGAGCAGACGAAAATTTGTACTAATTATCCCGTGGTTTGAAGACTGTATTTTTATTTGTCCGACCATAGGTTTAAGTTGGTTCAGAGAGCGTCTTTATCCCACATACTAAGTGCTACTCACCCTAGTATACGAAAGAAATAACATGACTGAGTCTCACTTGAGTATCGTCTTTATTGTACCGGGCACTCTTGTTTAAATAAGTAATCGATAACTTCACAAAATTATTTTCACGAGGTTATATGAACTATCTATAGTATAAAAATTACCCAAGTTCAGTACAGTAAATTAACTGGACTGCATCCCATTCTGTCACTCAAGAGTTGCCAGTCATATTTCCTAAGTAATGAATTATAACTACTTGAACTACTAAAATAAATGAATTGATACTTTGTATTGTCAGAATAAATAACAAATTTAACATTTCTGATAAGTTGAAAATGGGAAAAAATTACAAACTCTACTTCGAAAATAAATGACAAGACAAATAATTTACTGAAAACCTACTCCCTTCCTAATAATTCTGAAGTATTGGAAAGTAAACCTCCAGAGGGTTTGTCATGATATGGATTTACAGGCTGAGATAAAGCCTCAGTCTTTAAAATCCTACACGGTAACAAATAAGGCGCCATATTTAAAAACTCCGGAATATGTACATGTTCAGAACGCTTTGTAGCAATCCTGGTATTTGAAAAATGATTTCCACCAAACTGACGAATATTATTCGATTCAGTGGATAAGCTAGCTATGTTTAACCAATCACTTCTTTGTATATACAAAACTAGGTATTTGGGAGTGTGTGTTATCCATTGTTCGCGTTGACAATAATTTAATGAACAGGATTTTGATGTCGAAGATTTCTGACATCTAGGGCACTTCATATCAGGTATAGGTTCGACAGTTGCCAACTGAGCATCAAGACATTCAATAAGATCTATCACTTCTGTAGACGTTTTGACATATGACTGTTGTAATCCTTTCACATTTGTCTTTACAATGCTGGGACTCCCTGATAAATAATGCAAACAAAGAATAAAACTAAACTCGGATGATATATATATATACAGAAAATCTGGAAAATTGGTATAAGGTAGTACGCGGTTTAAAGTACTTAGTATTATTATATATATATGGGAAGTTTGTAGAAACTTGTAATAAAAACCAATTAGAAAGACTATATTGAGACAGATGAGGCAATGCATCACTATCGAGATATATCGAAGTAAACTCATAAAATCCTTGTATTTAGTAATATTCCAAGCTGAAACAATTTGCTGAACCCAGCATATTGTGTATAACCGAGTTAAGAACTGTAAAATCAAGGACAATAGAAAACTGGATATAAATGACTTGATAAAGCACCGAGACGATTGCAAAAAAGATAATTAGGTCCCTCATTATCCGTCTGATTTGTGCGATGAATCGCAAGCTAAACAGATGAGTTTTTACATACAGCAAAATTAATAACCCAGTTGTACTCACAATAGACTAGTTTTCTTATGACGATAAGTCAGAGTAAACCGACAAACACTTTTCTCGAACATTTTTAATGAACGAAATGAAAGCGCTTACCTTAAATCCAAAAGGACAATAGTAAAAACAAACATCCGCGTAAAAAGAAAGAGAATAAAATCTGGAAAGTTAGTATAAGGTAGTACGCGGTTTAAAACACTTAGTATTATTATTCACGATCTCTTAAACAAAAGTAATCATCATGGTAAAGAGAACAAGTATTTCTAAGTATGAATAAAATACAAACACAATCATTAATATGAATAACAAATAAGAAACTGAACATTTTTCAGTTAATCAGTAAGTATAAAATCTTATTAAAAGAGGATTAAATAATCCTGTTACGTAAATATTAATAGTAATGGTTGGATGATAATATTAATCATAAACACTGTCCCTGAATGAAGGAATGGCGAATTTCTCACATCGACTAATTGACAACATCAAAAGTGATCAATGCACATATTGATGAATGGTTTTTATACGAAAAAAACATGGATTGCAAAATTAATTTTAATGATACTGAACTCATCTAAGACATGAAGCACAAAATACACAATGACAGTGTACTTGCTATTTGTCCATAGGAAAGTTGGAGTGCAAAACTGAAATATGACGAAAACTATATTCACATCCAGAAAGACTCATGTGACTCAAACTAACACAAAAACGTTCAAGTTATCCGATTGCTGATATTCAGAATAAAACTTCAACCAGTTTTTGTTTGAATATATAAGTATCAACGTGATAATTCAAACCCTGACCAATAATGTTTATACAATATACCTCTTAAACAAGTTAACAGTCAGTTGAACTCGGTAGTGCAGTGAATAATGCATTGAATTTTGAAGCCATAAGTACAACGTTCGAGTTGCAACATGAAGATCGCACGAAAATTAACGGTACGTATAACTCCGCCTGTAGCTCTTCCAGAGTTACTGCCGGTCCCAAGCCCCGGTAAAAGAGGAGGGTTAGCGTCCCCATCCCGTAGAAAACTAACTCGCTAAAAAAACGCTTACCAGAAAAAATTAGTCAAACTATCTAAACTCTTGGTATTGTTTTGCTTGAATCTCCCCATTGATGGTTTAGGACTGAAATTGATCAGTCTTATTGGCATATGTGCATACTGTGCTTATGCCTCGATATCGCCTTAATTCACAGGCTTTTATAAGCAAAGATGGATAGAGGTTAGCAGTGGAATCCAGGATGCGCGTCTCGTCCTGTTTGGGACTCGTCAGCTGGATGTACCTGCATCTCAGAGTTGATGTTCACTCTGGGAGTCGAACTCAGTACCGTTCGCTTCAAACGCCAACGCGTTATCCACTTAGCTACTGAGTCCTGATAGTCACTTGCTTGTGCAATGGAGTGAAGTTTAATTCACTTGGTAAATTAAGACAATATCGAGGCATACGCACAGTATGCACATATGCCAATAAGAGACTGATCAATTTCAGTCCTAAAACATCAATTGGAAGATTCAAGTAAAACAATACCAAGTGAATTAAACTTCACTCCATTGCACAAGCAAGTGACTATCAGGACTCAGTAGCTAAGTGGATAACGCGTTGGCGTTTGAAGCGAACGGTACTGAGTTCGACTCCCAGAGTGAACATCAACTCTGAGATGCAGGTACATCCAGCTGACGAGTCCCAAACAGGACGAAACGCGCGTCCTGGATTCCACTGCTAGCCACTATCCATCTTTGCTCATTTAAACTCTGCCCTGAAAGTTAGAAGGTCTTCATTTAGAAGAATTATGACGCTTCATGGTGAAAGCCGAGTTCCTTCGGAAGCCACGAGGCCGATGCCCCTTCTAACAACCAGAGCAAAAATTTGTGTAGGTACATGAAACGTCCGAACAATGTGGGAAACCGCGAAGACCAGCCAAATAGCAACGGAAATGAGGAGATACAACTTAGCAGTACTGGGAATCAGCGAAACCCACTGGACCCAAGCTGGACAACAAAGGCTAAATACGGGAGAGATGCTGCTATACTCCGGTCACACAATCAGGGAGTCGCTCTAATGCTGTCCAAAGTAGCACGAAATGCACTTGTAGGATGAGAATCTCACTGATCCAGAATCATCAAAACATCATTCAAAACAAAGAAGGAGGGGATCACAATGAATATTATCCAATGTTATGCACCCACCAATGATAGCAACGACGACATTAAAGATCAATTCTACGAGCGGCTGCAATCAATCATAGAGAAATGCCCAAGAAACGACCTGAACATTCTGATGGGAGATCTAAATGCCAAAGTCGGAATAGACAACACCGGATATGAAGATATCATGGGATGACATGGACTGGGAGAGAGAAACGAAAATGGAGAAAGATTTGCAAATCTATGTGCATTCAACAAATTGGTCATAGGAGGCACAATATTTCCACACAAGCGTATACACAAGGCTACATGGATCTCACCGGACCACACTACAGAGAACCAAATAGATCATATTTGCATCAACACAAAATTCCGAAGGACAATGGAAGATGTGAGAACCAGGAGAGGTGCTGACGTAGCTTCAGATCACCACCTAGTTGTAGCCAATTTAAAACTGAAGCTAAAAAAGAACTGGACAAGTGGACAAACAGCACTACAAAGGTTCAATACAGCCTTCCTTCGAGATACTGACAAACTCAATGAATTCAAGATAGCTCTCAACAACAGGTTCCAAGCCTTACAAGATCTACTGAAGAAGAAGAAACTACTATGGAGGACAACTGGAAAGGCATCAAGGAAGCATTAACTTCAACGTGTCAAGAGGTTCTGGGTCTAAAGAAACACCATCATAAGGAATGGATCTCTACAGAAACACTGGACAAGATCAAAGAAAGGAAGAACAAGAAGGTAGCAATTAACAACAGCCGAACACGAACGGAGAAAGTCCAAGAACAAGCTGAATACATGGAAGCAAACAAGCAAGTGAAGAGGAGCATTAGAGCCGACAGGAAGAAATACGTGGAAGAACTAGCAGAGACGGCAGAAAAAGCTGCTAGAGAAGGAAATATGAAACAGCTTTACGATACAACGAAGAAACTATCAGGGAAATACAGTAAACCAGAGAGACCGGTCAATGACAAAGAAGGCAGACCAATCACTGAAATTCAACAACAGCGGAACAGATGGGTAGAGTACTTCGAGGAACTCCTGAATAGGTCGGCTCCGATGAATCCACCGGACATCGAAGCAGCACACACAGATCTTCCTTTAGATGTCAATCCACCAACGACGGAAGAAATCAGAATGGCCATCAGACAAACCAAGAGCGGGAAAGCAGCAGGACCCGACAATATACCAGCTGAAGCTGTAAAGTCAGACATCGAAGTAACCACAAGCATGCTTCACCCTCTATTCAAAAAGATTTGGGAGGAGGAACAAGTGCCGATGGACTGGAAAGAAGGACACCTCATCAAGATTCCAAAGAAAGGAGACCTGAGCAAATGTGAAAACTACACAGGCATCACACTACTGTCAGCACCAGGAAAAGTCTTTAACAGAGTTTTGCTGAACCGGATGAAAGATGCAGTAGACGCCCAACTTCGAGATCAACAAGCTGGATTCTGTAAGGATCAGTCGTGCACAGACCAAATTGCGACATTACAGATTATCGTCGAACTCGTCACTGTACATTAACTTCATTGACTATGAAAAGGCATTTGACAGTGTGGATAGGAGGACGTTATGGAAACTTCTTCGACACTACGGAGTTACTGAGAAGATTGTCAATATTATCCGGAACTCATATGACGGACTACAGTGCAAAATCTTGCATGGAGGACATCTGACAGATGCATTCCAAGTAAGGACCGGAGTCAGACAAGGCTGTCTACTCTCTCCCTTCCTCTTTCTTCTGGTGGTCGACTGGATTTTGAAGACCTCGACATCTGAGGGAAAACGCGGAATACAATGGACAGCTCCGAATCAATTAAGCGATTTGGACTTCGCAGATGACCTGGCCCTCCTATCGCATTCACATGAACAAATGCAAATAAAGACAGCCAGTGTAGCAGCAGTCTCTGCATCAGTAGGCCTCAGCATACACAAGGGGAAAGCCAAGGTCCTCAAATTCAAAGCGGAGAACAGCAATCCAATCACTCTTGATGGCGAAACTCTGAAAGATGTAGAATCCTCCACATACCTGGGAAGCATCATCGATGAACAAGGAGGATCAGATGCAGACGTAAAGTCGAGGGTTGGCAAAGTAAGGGCAGCATTCCTACAGTTGAAGAACATATGGAACTCAAAATAACTTTCAACCAATGCCAAAGTGAGAATTTTCAATACGAATGTCAAGGCAGTTCTACTGTATGGAGCTGAAACTTAGAGAACTACAACAACCACAATCAGGAAAGTGCAAGTATTTATAAATAGCTGTCTTCGCAAGATACTCAAAATCCATTGGCCGGATACCATCAACAACAGCCTTTTGTGGGAGAGAACAAACCAGCTTCCAGCTGAAGAGGGAATTAGGAAAAGACGATGGAAATGGATGGGACATACACTACGCAAATCGTCAAACTGCATCACGAGACAAGCCCTAACTTGGAATACTGAAGGAAGGTGGAAAAGAGGAAGGCCAAAGAACACATTACGTCGGGAAATAAAAGCAGATATGGAAAGGATGAATAACAACTGGAAGGAGCTCGAAAGGATTGCCCAGGACAGGGTTGGATGGTGAATGCCGGTGAGCGGCCTATGTTCCTTCACGAGGAGTAACAGATGTAAGTAAGTAATAACTCAAGAAAATACCATTGTAAAAGAACTATCTGACCAAGAAAATAGAATTTTCATACATCTTAGCGTATAGGTTACTTATCAATTCAACCCACTAAACAATTGGAAACAAAAGACTTTAAGTGAAGTAAATGCGTTTTGCACTAGCAGAAACAATTGCAACTTTGTAGGTTAAATGGGTGAAATGCTTCAATGTACAAAATGCTAAGCCCAAACTTTAAAACAATCTAACAACCAAGTAGGCTTAATCAAAGGGTTCCAAAACAGAACGAACCAAATAATCTTAGATTACATAAAAATCAATGTTTCACATTCTATGAAGATTACATGTGGTATTTAAATTAACTAATTATTCCTTTGTACTTGATTGAGTGCTGATTACGGATTCCGAATATAATCCATTCATCATTTGCGCTTATCTAGATCAACCTGCCTTAAATAGCACTATTTCGGAAATTCTTAGCTAACATATGAATTTGGATTCTTTTAATTATCATACTACATCAGTAAATATACACAATAAACTGGAATACCACACAAATTTAAACACACTTAGCAACAAAACTACACCAATAAGATACCAAAATTATAAAAGAACAACCTTACTGTTGGGGTGATCCAGAAATATTCTCACAAGAGATAAGAAAGGCTCAGGAAGCACTAAGAAGCATTTTATACAATCAGCGTTCATTAGAAGTTTAGCCAGAAACATCAAGAAAGTGAAAAGTCACACGTAGAGTTTCTGATTGGCTGATTACCACACTGCTAATGTTTAGTAGCATTCTAGAATTTTCGAGAAAACCCAAAGACATCTAAAATACTATAAAAACCCTATATTTTCTGTACTAGAACGAACCTTTGGAGTAAAGTACTTCTCACATACTTTGCGCCTTTTCTCTCGTGTTCAGGTCGCTATGTAGTTCTAGCTTGGGGGTTACGAGAATAGCTTATGAATCGAATATAACGTTTAATTAGCAATACTTATCACTCAACCATAATACTAAACTAATAAATGCACCGTGTTGGCAAAATTAAACATTTACTATGTAACGGTCTGAATTATAAACAGGTTTGAATTCTTCGGAATAGTTTAGTACAATGATCTTGTTAATCTCAATCACTAGTGTATTTTACTGAGCATCTCTTCGTTATCCCATTTTATTCTTAGATTATTTGAACTACTCTATCTTAACTAACAGATAGTCGCAATAAAAATTCATTTCTTGAAATTCATGAAAGTAAATTATTTTGAATCCATAATTTGTAGTTACAAAAATGAACTAATAAGTAGGTTCGAGCCATACCATAACGGTTTACGGAGTGTGGTTTGGGTTACATCTATATGTTAGTGATCACATTCCATTTGTAATTGAATTCAAAATAATCATATTTACATGCTCTATTTTAAAAAGCCTTATTATTGGTGTTAATCCTAGTCGCATCACTTATATAGTTAGTAAATTTCTCACACAAATACAGAGTATAGATTGACAGTGATTATGCACTTGTGTACATAGACAGAAATCATTAGTTTCAAGAAACATTGACACCTCAAATAAGAAGAGTAGAGAGAATCTCTAATTCATATATATATTTATATAAAATAAAGTTAACTAGTGATCATATCAAAGTAGTGTATTTTGATTTTCTTAAGTAACTGAGCAATCAGGTATTTTGGTATGAACTACACTCTATATGATACTATCCGGCTTTTCAAACAGAAACAGATGGAGCATGGTTCGAATTAGAGAGTTGCAGGCTGAAAATTTAATGCCATAACCACTGATACTGTGTTTACAAGTGAAAATTAACTTACTTAAAAATATGGTTAAACAAGCTTCCGGTTGAATGACCACTTTACTATGATAGTTGCAATAATTACATGTTACTCGGCTACTCACCAGAATTTGTTCAAACACATGAGTAGGAAATGCATCGCATAAAATTGCACGAAACTTTACACTTTCAATGGCAGAACAATGAGATCGACAGACAACTATCTTTGAAAATAAAATCAAAAGGAAGAAGATTTGTGAAACGATGACAAAAAATGGCTACAATTTGATGCTGAATATAATAAATAAAATTATCAGCATAGGATTGTGGAGATTGTCGGACTTTATTGAGATCACGAACCGACAAATCCTAGGCTACCTGGGTTCGAGCCCCGTGTGCGGGATCGTTCGTGCGCATTGCTGAGAAGTCCCATACTGGGACGAAATGACCGTCCAATGCTTTCAGGTTTTCAGTGATCTAACATCGATCAGTTCATGATCTCAATAAATAAAGAAATACATTGAAGCAAGATTAGCAATTACGCTTTTTGGTCAAAATGAAACACCACTGAATTGAATAGATTAGAAATTTCACAGGTTGAAATCACGAGTCGATTGAAGCTAGAGCACCATGGAAAACCTGGAAGCACTGGACGACCGTTTCGTCCTAGTATGGGACTCCTCAGCAGTGTGCATCCACGATCCCGCACCACGCGGGGCTCGAACCCGGGACCTACTGGCTTCGCGCGCGAGCACTTAACCATTAGACCACTGAATTTAGAAATTTCCAGCTGAACTGCAACTATTAATTAGGTTTCCCATCGACAAAGAAAATTATTTACGTACTTTTATAAAAAAAATAATAATTTTGTACACTTACTCGTCTATGGTGAGGAAGATTAAAATTGAACAGATTACTTATTTTTCTAGCATATGTTTTGCTGGAAAAACCATTATCTTGACTACAAGCACGTTCCATGATAAAACCAAATAATTCATGAGCATCCTAAAATTAAAACACAAAGAAAACATATTTTATCCATCTAATATATGGTTTTAGTCAGCTTGTTAAGAGTTAAGGGTTAACGTCTAACTTGAATACAACATTTTCCTTAATCATACTTTGATTTTCACCATATATCTTTATGTTGATAGTAATTCATTAAAATCATCGCTTCCCTTATTTTTTAATCTAGCCCTTATATAAAATCTGTTTGTGAGTTAACATTATAAACCAAACATATCCAAACCATCTTCACAACGCGTTCACACTGAATAAAAACAAAGTAGTAGCCAGTTAATTAGTTACAACGCAATGATACACAAGTTACTAAAATCAATGAAAATATAAATATCCCTGTTAGTAGTAAAACAAACTGTACCACTTAAATAATAGCTTAACTAACTAAATCTAAACACAAACGCAATTGTAGTATTGACTAGTTTTTTTTCTACATGAAATACTGTTCTTATTAGCTACAACAGACAGCATACTTTCAAAAGCAAACAAAAATAACAGGTTAGCGACTAAAATGACCAGTTCTTAACTCAGAAACTGACATTTCGCATCATGTGTAACCAAAAAAAATGCAAAGTCAACGAAATCACAGAAAACAATTGCAGATAAGACTTTATGCTCTGACAAATGAAGTTATAAATAAAGAATGAGAAAACGACTAAATTTTAGATTATAACTTGTGTTAAAATTAATAATATAAAAGCCTAATGGACTTATTCCTCTTTTTTATATCCATTTGTGTATATCTCTATAAATGCTCGTTCCCACAGATACGATGGCCTACGATTTCATCAGTTATACACCAAAAGCTATAATGATCCTTTTTTCGACATTATTTCATTTAAATAGGAAAAACACCTATGTTTTATAAGGTTACTTGGATATTCTTTCGTCAGTGAATTAAGCGTTGTTCTAAAAGCATGATTACTGAATGGTTATGGGAGTGACTGCTGTTTTTAGCGAAATCTGTTTTATCCACTTAGCATAACACGATTAGTAGTATTATTTGTACAAAAGGTTACGGTTTAAGAGTCACTTATCTTCTCCTTTTCTAAAAAACTGACACAAGACAGGACCACCTAAAATCAAATTTTTTTTAAGTCTAGAATTTGAAGACATAACAGTCAACAAATTTGGATTCGGCTTTCCTGAATCTAATCATTTACGAGCTCAATACCTCAGAGACGAAATCTACGACTACGATGCCTAACGATGCTTGTTCTACATTAACATATACATATTTAGTAACTGATAAAAAACAAGTATGGAAGTCTAGTCATGATAACATTTATTAAATTCAAAACAAAACGAAGCGCAGAGAAATTTTGAGTTACTTATTTCACTTAGTGACTAAGTGATAAAACTGGTCGAGAAATTTTAGTTGATCGTATTTAGACAAATCATGAGAACGACTAATAATTAGTGCAGTAACAAAAATTAGTACCCAGTATAGTGAATCTATGGATTAAATGAAAATTACCAAGCATGATGTAGTAAAACTAAGATAAATGTAACATAAAAAGGGATAACACAACGACTAACCTGCTGTTCATGAATAGCCCAATTTTGTGTATTCACTATGTCATTAATTAACGCTTCATGATTCTTCTTTAGTAAACCACCCAAGTTATTCTCTGAAATATACTGAGAAGAACACTGCAGACCTGGCAAAATAAAGTTGAAACTTCAATTGTAAATTTATAGCTTAGCAAAATTGGTTACCGGATAAAAATATAACCCAAAGATATTCAGTAAATATACGATAAAAATTGATTCCGCTAAAAACTAACAATTCGTGTTGTCGACAGTCAAAGTAAAAATTTGTGTCGTCTATGATACTGCCTGACTGTATGTTAATTACAATTAGATTTGATTACCTCAGCTCCGAATACAGATGGCTTATTTTCTTATTAGCCCAAGTTAATTCAAAACATGTATCTTGTTCAAGAAATGTATCGGAGGGACTAAAGAAGATTGAACTAAGAGGGCAGCTATTTTACATTAATACGTTGACAATCGTCAGGACAGTAGGGTAAAAACTAGGATCTAGAAGTCACAAATAAATAAGGGAAGTGAGCTTTAGGTCCTGTCAAAAATTAAGGAGATTGACGGGTAATAAAGGAAACTTACATTTTCGTAAGTAAAATGACAAAGTGCTAATCGATATAAATTGCTTTTATCGTTTGATCATCTTAAAGAAAACATTCAGTTTGTATAGTTTATTAGACCACAACCACTCAGACTTTTCACAACCTGCAGAGATTTAAACAAGGATTTGAGAAAATAAAAGTTTCCCCATGAATTATATTCAGGCTCAGTGTCATAGTTTACACTCTAGTTTACCTAAATACAAACTTGGGAATCGCTTGGCTGATGAGACAAGCCAACAAGAAACTGCACTGGTCAAACAAACATGCTCATAGTTCATATTCTCCATGCGTACATAAAATGAAAAGGATATATCCATCACGAGCTTTAATTGCTATTTTGTTGAAAAGATTATCTTGAGATATATTTAATTACAATTCTCACCATTTCGACGTGGCGAGCCATAATTGCTGACGAAGTCCTTACAAACTTAACCAATCACATACTTACTGACTTTATTAAGGATATATCTAAAGAAGAAAACATAATCAGTTTTTTTAAACTCTTAATCACTGGTTTCTTAATACACCAAACGTGAATGACTGTGGGATCCAAAAAGTTAGAATGAGAACGAAATTTAACACTTACCCTTCAATAAACACAATAATCTATACATGAATTTGTCCGGCTTAATGTGGACACTGCGTTTTAGGAGACGAACAAGACTTGGATTCGCTGCCATTGCTTGCATCAATGCATTGAAATAGCATACATTTCTAGGATTTGGAAGCCCAACTGGCAAATCTGAGGCGTTTTCTATAAAGTATCACCAATCAAAAATATTCTCAATACATAAATTAAATTTAAAGACACAGAAAATCAGTGGCTTCTACAATAATATAGAGCTTAAGTATTTTTATTCAACGTGGCCACGGATTTCGACATATTGGCTATCGTTTCAGTAGATATTAGTAAAATCATGGTCACATCCCGGTTCAGTTCAAGTCTCTATGTCCGATCTATCTGCATATTACATCACAAAGCTTAAATGCAAACAAATCAGAAAGAATCCAAGTATAATACAGTTATGTATTAATTGAAGTTGTCATATTACACAATGTCACAGCAGCGTTAGCTGACTGAGAGAAAATAGACCAACTTTATAACACAAATAGCGGCAAAGAAATGAAGATGTGTAAAAAATTAAAGGATAGAGAGCATATGATGATAATATATCCCTGATTCAGGTGAAGTTAATTAGTGGACTATCTGCATCATTGCAGATCACTTTACCTGAGGATTCAAGGAAAAAATAGGATGCTCTTTACGTTGATCAAACTAACGAACTGTAACTTCAAAAAATAGGGCCGCGTCTTGGTCTAGATATGACTTTTTCCAGATTTATTTTTTACCTAGCGTAGACTGTTTATGAGTTTTATAAGGGCGTAAAAGTTATTTTGCAACCCAAAAACCGATTTGTTGTGTTCGTTTACAAACATTCCCTCAAAGTTTGAGTAGCATACTCGTGAACTTTACCATCCACACCTGTTATCAAATATCGACGACCCTAAAGTAGCTTCTAGTAGCGATGACTATATTTTTATCTGTTAAGTGATGTAGAAAGGACATATGTACAGCATGATTTCCCATTGGTAAACAGACAGACGCTCTGCCTATACAACCTGTCAGAGAATAGAGAAAGCTACAATTGTTTGATCAATGAGTGATGACAAACATTATGTTTATCTAGTCCTTTTTAGTGATAATCGAAGTCAATCGATCAAGTTACGACGTATGCATCAGCTGAAGTGATTCGATATCCCATGCATTATGTTGAAATATTAAGTGGTCGAAGGTAGTCAACAGGAGACGCTTCACAAAGGTTTCATGATACTTGGCGCTCATCGGCAAGATGTACCTGTAATTTTGAGGGAATTGGTGTTTCCTGAAAGATTCGATCTTGTCACCTAGCTTAATAGTTTAAGGGGTTACCACTAAGATAATCAGGCTTTGAGTGACCACCTGTAGGACTAAAACACCTACTACCTAACACTCTAATAAAGAGCATGCGATATCGAGCCACTTAGGCTAGTAGCTACGTTGCGATTTGGTCGATCTAATTCTATCAGCACTAAAAAGGACTAGATAGACATGACAGTTACGACCCAGTGATCGCTTGTAAATATCTCAGCACCACAGGTAAGTTGCTAGCTGAGTAGCTTAATGACAGCATCTCAGATTGTGAAGATGGATGGTGTGGGTTAAAATTCCACATAGACAATCAATTTCCCTAAAAATTACAGGTGCCATTCGCTGATGAGTGCCTAATAGCACGAAAGCCATGCAAAGCGTTCCTTATCAATTACCTCCAACCACCTAAAGCTCATATTTATATACGTTAAAACAGTCAAATAATAAAGATAATTTCTAAGTTAATAATAACATAGATGTCTTCTGGTCAAAATTCGTTTATTATTTAGCGATTCCCTTTTCAGAACAAATGGGAACAAATGGCGTATGAACCAATTGTTGGTCACCGGCTTCCATGGGACTGCATCTCCTTACGATGCTCCACTGCCTTGTGGATCAGACCTTTGGGTCGAAGGCTCCGGGTGCGGCCCCCTAAGAAAACCACCTGTTTCGACTCGGGCACCCGAGCAGTATCACAGCCCTAACACAATTCAAATGAGATTTGTGCGGCTCATATGTATTTGGTGCCTCCTTGTACCAATATATATGTGTTCAAATAATAATAATAATTCTTTGTGTACTATTCCTTAATGTTTCTTCTGATCTTGTTTGCTATACATAAACCCCATAACAGTATCTAGTTGTTCTTTAATAGTAAACGCAATTGATGGATTAATGATAACATCTGTGAAGGAAGTTATTCTTACCTTGTAATACTATTAAAAATATTAACTAGCAACAGTGAAATGCTAGTCGATTATTGCAGTGCCGATGAAAAACTAATTGGAAAGTGTATCTTTGCTATTTGGGGATGGTATGCTTGTGCGCATGATTTTAGCAAAACATTTGGGGTTGCAAAAACTGTATGGAGCGATGTGATGGTTAAAGAGCCTAACCTCTAAAAACTTTGTTGGATGTTCTGATCAGTGGAAACCTATATGGTCCAAGTGTGTCGTCGCAAGTGAATATTTTGAGATATATAGGACTTATTCACTCTGTTTGCAAAATAAGATCCATATGATTACATTTCATGTATTTGTTGAACAGACCGAGTAGTGTTAACAAGTTCTAGCTGCAGAAACCCAGTATTGCATACTCGAAAGTAATATAAGACAGGTCTTTAACCAACTAACTGGTTGTATAGTGAATATATCCCTGGATGTATAGCAAACCAATCATATGTTTACTCCTAGTCTGAACACATTAACCAAACATTAAACGCGAAAATGTATGATTTAGCAACCAAGGTATAAGGACGAAAATAACGATTAAAACTACATATTCAGTAGATATCAAAGTAAAACTACATGAATATAGTGGACGAATAAGCCGACGAATAGCGAACGATCCAGTTGAAATACTAAGAAAAAGGCAGTAAATATTAGAAGAGAAAAATTAGCATTCAACCACTTGACAGTTTGTGAGTCACTATATTCTATTTCATAAGCCGCAAAATGTCTTGAGCTTGATAGGGCGCCAAAAGTAACGCCCCTCAAATAAGAAGCAGTGAGAACGTATAATAATGTGGTTCAATTTTTCGTAGCCCCAAATCTGACTCCAATTTGATCGTAAGTTGTTTGTTATCGAAATATACATATCGCTAGTCCTGTGTATAATCATAGACTTAACTCGAGTTGGTGTATAAAGGAACTAAATAAGTCAAATACAAGAATGAATTTCGAATACGTGTATTTCATACAATCGTTGATCAGAACAGACAATCAGAGAGACGATGTGAAGAGAAGAGAGCGAAGCGAAATGACGCGCGGTGGAAGAGTGTGAACCAACTCGACTTAACCAAGTGAAACTCGATATTTGTAGTCAGATAAAAATGAGTTACAGAAATGTGATGAGTAAGATAGGAAATGCACACACATACGCTCAAATAGAAACGGTCAACGTTGATAAGTGAATAATTAACAAGGTCGAATTGTAGATTGAGAAGAATGAATAAGTTGGTTTGTTCAGAAGCTAGAATAAGCTATGTGAGTTCGAAATAGGACCATCCACTACAAATTATCAATGACAGATTCGCGTTGGGTTTCGTGACACTGTTTGTGAGAGGGATAATAACACTACTTTGAAGGCTTTGAACTCGCTATCTGCTGGCCGGAAAATCTGGTGGATCCGCTAAAAGCTAACTGCAAGTGGTTTATCAATATCAAGTAGTCGATCTAGAACACACTAAGAGACATCTTGGTAATCGATTATTAAATTTACTGTTTAAAGTTGAATGTTTCAGAGCGTGTGAAAAAACGAACCCAATGATACAACGAATTTACAATCAATCACCAAACACTTCAAAAATTTAGGTAATAAGACGTATAAAAAACATAAGATCAAGCTCTTACGGCAATATACTTTCTTGTTTTCTCGTCGATATAACAAGAATATAGCACCAGAAACTACAGCACCTCCAATAACCACCACTAGCGAATCACAAACTTGTTTGGCTAAATTATATTATATTTGGAATACACATATACCTGTAAAACCAGTAGATTTCATTCTCAACCAGTCTGTACCGAAGACTCTCGAATAGTTGCCATTTTAGTGCGACTTTTGGATGACCTTCATCTAGTCTGGACGGGTGAATTTAACCGTAACGCAACCATGTAAACTTAATGTATCGCCCAGTATAATGACTGTCAGATGATTACGATATATTGGCAATCACCAAATACACTCTTCCGATCTCCTCGACTCTGTCTTTTGATTTCTCTTGGTGGGTACGAATTATATTAGGTGTTGCTGGTAAAAGCGTTGTCAAACACTGAATACCTGTGTCATCTTCAATGGTATACTTAAGAACAGTGCTTGAAGCCTGTAACGAAACAGATCAGTATAGTAAGTAGAGTTGCCCGTTTCTAATGAGCATACTGATTCAGATCAGTCTAATTAAAAATAAGAAAAAACGTGCCTTTGATCCTGTTGCTGTCATACATTATAAGATAGCGATAAGTATATTTGGTGTTTATTTATAGACTGTACATCTATCATTGACCAAATTTCAAGATCACTTTCATTAAACAATTTCTCCAGCAATAACATCGGTAGCAGGATAGATAAGCGTCTGAGCTTTTAGTTGCAGTATACAGTCTCTGAAGATTAGTGTTCTGTGTCTCAATTAAATGTAACTGGCTGTGGATAAATGTTAAGAATCTTTTTGACAACCGGGACTTTTAGTTTATCAGACACTAACTCTGCTTTTATGTCTTCCTGTTAAATTAGACGCAGGTGCATGGGAATACTTAAGTGGGAGCAAAATAATAAAAGCATTGCGATACGGCACTAAGCCTATGTGATGCTTTGCACAAGTAATAATAGCTGACCTAATCTAATATTCATGAACTCAAGGTAAATCACAACTGCATAAATTCTTTGCTAGAAAACATGTAATTTGGTTATTTGTCTATTCCACATTTCTGACTAAATTTATTACTATTTTTACATTTAGAATACAACAGGAGTGAGTATTCACAGATCCTAAGAACTGTTTCGCCCCTAGAACTATGGCCCTATGAAACTTTACGGGAGACCCAATTAACAGCAGATTATAAAAAGGATGCTGGACTTCCATTTTAGTCTCAGAACCACTTCCAGTACTTTTTGAGTTACTTCTTTTACCCTTTCATTCGGAAAAAGACAACAAAGACTGAAGCTTAACATTACCAATGAAACTTTTAAACGAGAACTTCGTTTAAACTTTTGTTTGATATTCGATTCTTAATGAAAGTTCCTGAATAAATTTTTAAATCTAATGCTACTTTGTTTTACCTACTTAATCATTGCAAGAAACTTGCGATACACGAGCCTCGCAGCACCTAGTTGATATGTAATAAATTTAAGTGATTTAGTACATATCCTCTTCATTTTCTTGGGAAACCTATAGACTCGAGTCCTCTCATAACTTATTCTAACCACCATGAGTTGTCACGGTAGCAGGTGGATGGATACGCGTTACACATCCTAACCGTACCTGCGTCTAATCTCATAGCTCCTTATTCAAATGCCATATGATAAGCAAGCAATGCCCCTACCCGCACTAATGAAACACTAGTAACTCAATGGCATCCTGTGTGGTGCCTTACATTGATCTACGCACTAGCTTAGCTCTTTAGTGAGAATATTACTACAGTTCTGCTAAAAATCCCATGAACCCCACTACCTCCATCAAAACATATAAGTCTGTATTTGCTGCATATAGCAATTTTATTTTTCTGAAGTAAGATATAACAGTTAGAATTAGAGTAAAATGGCAGTATACAGCAAATGAACGTGGTAAATTTCTTCGTCGATCAACTGAAATAGAGAATACGGATATTAGCTTAACAGGCTTATTTAGGAAGACTATTGTCTACTTTGAACTTTCTGCGTGAGAAAGTTATACTGGAACTACGGATGTTGTAGAAATAGAGTTTCTCGGGGAGTACGAAGCACTCAAACTGGAAGACAGTTGTCCAAAAATAATTCGAATATAAAAGTGAGAATTTGCAGATACTTTTCATCGTAAGGGTGAACATATTAGGTACCGGTTGACATCATGCCGTAAAAAAACACAAATTTGCGAGTAGTGAAATATGATCTATAAAATGTGAGCTTAATAACAGTTAATTTCCGTTTTACTCCCTGATCATGACCCTTCGGCTTCCTTTTATGGCTAAAACAGCAAACAGACAGTACACACTGATAGCAGATTTCCGGCTTTGTAATGTTAAGCTTGCTTTAACACACGACGTAATGAATAGAAACCCCTCTGTTAATGCTGTATGGCATATTTTTTATAACAAACCCTCTGCAGTAGATTGGTAGCATCTGTGACTTCGTCTATGGGTCTGGGTCCTTTTGAAAAAATACTAATATCCCCTACTGCTTGGCACTCGGTATTAGTTTGACTCGTTGGTGGGATAGTGTTGTCCATAGTAGTGAAGAAAATTGAAAACCGGAGATCGTTTCCTTTCATTTTGCAGATAACATCATAATGGACAGTTAGGAACAAACATGCGGGCAGTTAGTCACAGGTGGCAGCAACAATTATTCTAGCTGAAAAAATGAGCTTCGGCATTGGATATTTAGAAAACAAGTCAAAACAGAACCGATTAGACTAGCCAGCTTGGCTAAAGAAATACACTGACATCAGTAGCAGCAACCAAAACCCAGCAAACAAAGCAAAATGAGGAAACCTTTTCCTCCAACATTCAAAGTATTACATTAACTTCTGCATTTTAGCACACTGAAACATTAAATTCTGTAGCTACACGAAAGAAATAGCTGAAAAAAGCACGGAACGAAAAAAGCCAACCGCCAATGCTTACAAAGATGGAGGATATAATAATTCTCACCTCATTCTGATTGGTTGCTAAGTTGAATGCCACATTTACGAAACTGGATTGCATTTAAAAGCACCAGTCTGGACAACACTTTGAAGTGTTTGCTTAAGTCTGGTGAGAGAGGGAAATAAGTAAAAACGGATGGACAACTCTGAGTATACACGGAATATTTAACCCCTTGATAACAACTAATCATAATTCTAGTTGTTTTAAATTTTTCTGAACGGAATAGAAGCTTTCGCTTAATGAGCTTCCGTATCTAGCAGCAGTAGATCACCGATGCTTCCAGATAGAAACCTAGGTATAGTTAACGATAAAAGAGAAAAATATAAGTAGACAATAGTGCTATGCTTCTCTTACTCCTGAAAAAATGTGTTAAGTCTCTTCTTAAAGGACTCCTGCTAAAAACTACCTCACTCGACGGTGAATTCTGGGATTGGACTATTCGCAAAGAGTAAAAAGTGTCCCTACGGTCCATTTTGCTACGTTGTGTCTCTAATTTCTGAGTGGTACTCCTAAGGTTTGTGTTGGGGATTAGCTTATGTAGTTTGTAGTGGCCCGTGGATATGACTCCAATTAGATCGTATGAATGTTTGTTATCGCCTATCCTCGTATATAATCGTTGACTTAAATCACGTTAGTCGATAACGGAGATGGCAGGTAAGCCATCTCCCCATTGAACCAAACGTTAATCAATATTCATAGTTACACAAAAGTAAGTTACAGACATGTGATGAGTAGTGGGATAAGAAATGTACACACACCTACGCGCTCATATAAAAACAGTCAAGATTGACAAGTGAATAAATAACAAGGTCAGAATGTGACTCAAGTAGAATGAATGAAATGGTCTGTCCGAAACCTAGAATAAGGTATATGAGCTTAACACAATAACCAGCACTACAAGTTATTTAAGGAGATACCCATGAATGTTTAAGATAATATAGTTCATCAGAAGTCCACCTTTGCGATGCCTATATATCAATGAGTAAAGTTTCAATGATTGAAGGCGCTCTTCATAGGGCCTGGATTTAAGTCACGGGACTGACTTGGTGACTCGTATCCAAATGTGCTCTTATTCTCTTGGGGTTAGGGAGGAAACGCCATGTTTTCAAGCTCAATATGGGGTTGAAATCAAGACAAATCAAGAAAATCTGGTCATTGCTGCCAGCGTATGATAAAGTGAAATACACTAGTGTAAATTGACTGATCTGTTCTCACTAGCATCATGAAGTCAGTGAAAAGTATGAGGTCTTTTATAGCATTCAGTAAGCTTTATTTACCCCTTGGGTTAAAACAGTTCCGATGACATCGACAGTTATCCAGAGATTTCTGGGTCTAGAGAGTAAGTGATTGAATTTTTCTCACAGAAGTAGGCTTATCGAGATCAGAAGATGTACCATAACTGGATAGTAGTTTTGTTGAGTATGTTAAAAGTTGTGAAGAGAAAACTATTGAGATTAAGTGGACTGAAAAGAAACAGGTCGCAATGAATAAAGTAGCAAACAAACGAAAAAAGAGATAGGTTAAATACGACGCAACAAGGGAATAAGCGAAAAATAACGGACATCGAAAGACTTGGATTAAGTAGGACAAATGAGTGTCATGACTATATGCTCTATGAACCAAACTTTTATTGTTAGCAAAGAGAACTAATCCATGAATATACATATTACTGTCTATTCATCCCTAATATCACCAAAATAATAGCACTGTGGAATGTAAACTTAGAGACTAGTTCATTTTCAAGGCCAACTCGACGATTTATAAGAATGTACAAAAATTAAACTCCTTATTTTGATGCTACATGAGCCAATGTTAAAGGGAATTAAACACCAAGCGTCACGTTTTTTGTTGCACATTCTGGAAAACAATAACAGACATGGACTATAATAATAATATATCCTTAAATAACAACGTGTTACATGAGACATTTCACTTTACAGGCAATATTGAATTGTTACAAATTGCTACAAGCTTTACTTTAGTAAGTTACTCGACTAGGTTGATATGTTATAAGACACATTTGTCATGGAAACAAGGGATACATTTTTGCACATTAGAATATTAACGTTAGTAGGAATTCAATGTTTTAACGCCTCATGAATGTTGCGTTGCATCAAACAACTGCTGGTCATGAAAAATGCAAGTCAAGTCCAGAAAAGTGATGCGTTTAGTGCACAACCAATCAGTCAAAAACGTCAACTTCAGCGTATTCCATTTTGTGTTCACGGATGAATATCGGAAGTAATAATGACGGAACGGGACGAAGCCATATGTTCCATTTAAGTTTTCGGTGGTAGGTGCTGAAAAAGAGAGGGAAAAGGGAAGGGAGAAAAACAGATCAGACAGTGTTTATGATAGGCAAAGTTCGTCCATTTATGACAGAATAATTAAGGTATGACCAACTAGACTTATTTTCATTTATCAGATCAGTTGGTATGTTTTAACATGCTAAAGAATACAGACCAAAGTATGGCGTTGAATGGACAATGTATTGTATAAACTTATGTAATTCAAAAGAGCGGATTGTGTGTATCCTTAAGATTTAGTAGTTAAAATACAGCATAGTTGCTCAGTTTTGCTTGTAATAGGACTTATTGGTAGGAATAGAGATCGGTTCAAGGTTACAGACATGAGTCAAAGAGGTATTTAGCACAAGAAATCAGCATCAATACCACTTATTAGTCATATCCCTCTAGACCATAAAGAGCTGTAACTTAAGAAAGTATTCTGCCATACAAACATTGGTGTATTGAGGCTATCTCCATCCTGGATCCCTTTGGAACAATATATCACCGTCATAGCTTGAGCGCTCAACGAACGATGCAACTTGTAGAATTATGATCACATCATTACAAATTTGCACTTTTTGAATTAGGTCTATTATTATAGTATCGAAGATAAATGTACCAATACCTAATAAGACTATACTTCCAGAAGCTCACAACCAACACGCTCTACAATGAATAACAAACATCATATTCTTGGGATTGGTTGATAGCTGTCTTGTCTTAGTAACATTACTGAAGATGGATGAAAAATGACTGAGGAATAAATTTCAGTTAAACGTGAGGTATTTGTATAGAAATATGATCTAGTTTGATATTATTACTGCTATAATAATAAAACCAATCCCAAAATTGTGGATTTGACATGTGACTACCCAATTTATGAGATCCTATATGGAAGTTCCATCATTGTCTACATGGACTCGTCCTATCGTAAGAATGAGCAATATAACGTCTGATGTTTCAGAAGAACACATTTGGGCTGGAGATAGCATAATATATTTAATGTGAATAAAGACAAGTTATAAAGAATGGCTACGTCTGCAGAGCTCAGCCATGCCATCCGATCGAATGAGTAAATGACCTTCTCCAAGTGTTACACGTTCGACTTCATACGTCGAGGGTTAGGAACCAGTGCCACAACAATTACCATTATGAACGATGGAGATTAATTTGGTAGTAACGAAAGTTATTGAGAACTAGAAAAGACGGTAACTAACACACAACTCTTCATTTTAATCTTCAATGATAAGACCCGAAGCGAAAGCAGTAGAGTATGAGATGAGTTTGTACATAATGAAGATGAGTTCCAAATGAAATTATCTCATTAATACATATAATAACCGACATAACCTTGATTCATATAGAAAAGTTGTTACAATGGAGATTGTGAAAATCAATCAGAATATAAAAGAGGTCATGCAGCAATACGAATTAGAAAAATCGACTTTATGGGTGCCACCAGAAGAAGTTACAATTATACTCTTATTCTGAAGTTCCGCTGCCGTCTATCTACTGCTTGTAATCATCGAAAATATAGTTCAGGAGAATTTCGAGCTTTTCAACAGTACAGGATGTCCTCATGAAGACATATTAGGTTTGATATTAAAACTATTAATCATTCTAATATAGATGAATGACATTCCAAAATGGATGACTTCCTAAACTATCGTCTTTCGAGGGAAATCCATGATTACGATCAAAGGATAACTCTTCTGTGGGATCTAGCGAGATTCAACATTTCAAACGTTAACTGCAGAATAATTTTTACGATTCTAAGGTAATCAGTTTATGGAGCTGCTCGTGACATGTACAGTTCGAACAACTCCCAAGAGAATTCCCAGGAGTCTTTCAAGCAGAGATATAACATAGTACTATTGATTCAGGATAATATTTCGTTACAACTTAATAATATTTATCTTTTGTCTCCTGAATATCCCTCGATTTTTACCTGGTTTTATCGGTCATCCACTTTTTCCGGATACGGTAGCACGCCATAAGAAAGCTTCTTCTCTTCCATTCACAACCTTTTGAATGTGAAGATGCCACAGGTATTCAGAGTTTGACAACGCTTAAACCAGTAACACCTATATGAAGCGTACTCACCAAGTGAAATCAAAAGACAGAAGCGAGGAAGTTCGAAGATATATTTGATATGCTATCGATATATCGAGAATCGTCTGATCTAATCTGGCTAGCGATTGCAGGGGTTGTTGAGCACGGCGTTACCACTCGTGATCTGATGCGGATGCATGACCGAGCGCCTTCAGCTAGGTGAGTCCATTTAAACATGCAGTCATCATCCGATGTCGAAAACTTACAGAGCTATTTATTTTGGGGATTTATTCACCGCTACAAATGATTTCGTCTATTGGATGGTCTGGTATTATGACCTTGTACGTGAGCGCAACTTTGAGTGTATGCCTTTATATCATTCCAATGGTGATGAGATTTAGTATGTATATACTAGCTTGAGTATCTTATATGTCCTATTACATATTTAAATATGCTTACTGCGAAAAGAGACATCATAACTTGTGAACAACCATATGTTCTGTCATAAGGTGTGCACCAATGAAGTGCTTTTGATGTAGTACCAAGTGGTGGTTGACCACTTCAAGTATCGTAACACATGACTTGATAAAACGGCTAGACTATGATCCAAGGACGAACCAATCACATTCAAGGACCATACAAATGCCCTAGTTTCCGTTTTTATGCTCCTCTGTAAAAGATTGACCCAATTTTATCGATAGGATTACTGTACTGACCTCTTGGACTTCCTCGTATTTATTGGCAGCGTTTTCGTCATTGGAACCATCAAAACGGTAGCCAGCAAACTTTCTGAATAAAACCACCATCTTTTGCAGTTTGTTAATTGTCTATAGTGAATGAATGTTTTTGTATATGTAACTCACTACTGTAATGGATAACCTCAAACTTCATAATCACTCAATTATCTAGTTGAACAATGTTCTATAGGTGTATATCTACGAAGTTGCCAGAGTACATAAAACTCTTCTTCAATAATCCACTTGATTGCTGCAATTAGAACCTGCTTCTTTCTTGTTGCATTGATGAGTACAAACTGTTCAGTTGTACGCTAAATACTATATCAGGGTTAGAAATAAGTCCAAAATAATGAGTACGAAATACAGAAATATATCCATATGAACGTATGTATTAACAGATATACGCGTTCAATATAAGTTGCTAATAGAAACTTATGTTTGTTCATGACTAACTATAGAGCACATAACTATACATCTCATTGGAAAGAAATGGTTTCGTCAAATATTCTAACGAGTCAATGAAAGCTCTAAATCTAATTGATTGGTTTTACCCTACATCAGTTATTAATCCCAGTTTACCATACACCTACATTATCTGGCTTAAATAAAGTGACTGTAGTACACTTAAACGTAATTATTTGTTTCTTTTAATCAGACGTGACGGATGCGTCTATAGTAGTTGCTGAGATGCTAGCTTAAAGCCTACTACAGAAAGATTGTCTACATAGCACTGAGCTGTTTGCTTAACTTTAGCATAACCTCTATGCTCATTCTTAATCCGCCTCTTATAAGAGTCGAATGGGAAGTTTTATTGCCGATCTAAAGATCACTCCAAATTAGCGTCATCAACAAGATGCTTTGACGAATGTACAGCATAAACTAAGTGTTCGGGTCCGTAGCACTATTCATCTCATATCTAGCTCAATCTATTTCGCTGCTGTGTAATTTAGGATGCGCTAATAGATATTTCATCAATGCTAAGCTTGTCGAAAGTAAGTACAGCGGTAGTGAATTTTTTTCCATACAAACATAAAGTTTAATGTATGATTTTTACGCTGAATGTTTGGAAGAATATATTCAATGCAACACGAGGTTGATTTATTTATGTCCGCGACAATAGTTTTGTACATGTTTCTAAGTCTTTTGTACGAAAAATTTAGCCGTAGTTTGGTTGATTTCTCCAACACACCTAACTATATCAAGGGCATTGAATCAAGAGGGAGTGGTGAATAGGTTGAACCTGTTGATGTAAATTGTCATCAGTTCACCTTTTGAAAATCATCCTTCAAGGTGAACTCCCACTAGTACACACCTATCACAGCCTACTTTTCTGTTGGGATTCACTGTATATCTAACATCTGAATGAGCAGGTGCATCACAAACGACGGCGACTAGTTTAATGGCTATATGCTTGTTGAACCTAGCATTATGCAACCACAAGTCACCCATTTCTTTTGTCTCGGAAGTTACGTCAGCAGGTATTTCATCCAGTACTTAGTTGGTTAGTTTGGTGCTAACATAACTATCATTTATTATTTTTAGCCTAATACTTTAAATCCTGATGCCACACAGCAGTATAATTTTCTGAACTAGACCCTACTGCTGTTTTTACATACTTATAATGTCTGGATATACGCAAAGTGAAAATTTAAACCGTGGCTCCGAGACAATGGTTGATCGTTATTGCAACTCTTTAAATATTCTTAAAGAAAAGGTTATGGTAAGTTGGTTGGTCGATTGTCATGTCACCATTTTACTTTTCTCAACAGAGTCTATTAGAACAATATCATTCAATCATTATGCAGAAAATGGAATGTGATTTAGGAAAGTAGGTTTGTACTTTTGGTAATCTTTGACCTTATGTTGATGAGTTAAATGTGATTTTAACCTTAAAATATGAATAGTTTACTCAGTATGATCAGCATATTCTAACGATTCAGAATTTCATGCATAAAAAGCATACCAAAACAAAATAAGCTGCGGTATATCATCCTGTTAATTTATGTAAGCTATCTAAATTATTTTGCCCTGTTATACACTGGTTATTCGAAAGCTGATCCAAACATAGTACTCAGCTTCATCTAGCCAGATAAATGCAGTGTAAATCCCTATAGGTAGTCGTACCAATATACTGTCCCATCGTATAATGAGGACACTGCCAACTAATTCACTATACTAAGTAATACTTGGGTTCCCATGGTGTTAGCGGGACATAGACTAGATTAAAGCATGCTCAATGCACGATTGTTTTGGTGCACGCTGATTGGTTGATTCTTATCCAATCAGCACTAGTCGATAGTCGGAGAATACTCTGGAATCTTCTTATGTAAAAACTATAAATATACCGACGTTTTCCCCTATTGTGCTTCCTACTGGCTTCTGACTTGCTATTTGGAATATAATCTTTTTCCTGTTCAACCGTGTTCTGATTTGGGGACTTGTCGAGTGAATCGGTGTCCGAGAATACTAAGCAATAGGAATAGCTGGGTCATTAAACGTAAGAAAACAGAGATTTATAACACATGGTGCGTTCCTAGTGTAGGTAGGAAACGGATGCATACGTGCCAAGTTCTACACTGATAGTGATTGACTGGAAGTCTAGTAAAACATAGTAATCTAATTCTAAGTTAAATATACTAAATTGTCATTTCCATTTTTGTTACACCCGACCGAATTCCAGTTTTGTTATCATCTGTTTCTGTTGAATCATATAACCTGTCATTTCACAGGTAGTTCACAATACTAGTTGCTTTGCTTTTCAAGTCTAAACTATCCTTAACAAGAGAGTTTCCATCGTCTTACACTTTCTGTTTGACTCATTCGAGTATCTCAACCGTAGCTGCTACCTCGATGTTGTCTTCGGGCTTGGTTATTGTGACTGCCCGGCCGAGTCATACTGCTTGGAATGCTTATTTTTTTAGGTTCTACCATACTGGGCAGGTTGGTTGGAGGACGATAAGATTAAAACCGGAAACCTAAGATCCGAGGGTCAATTCGTAATGGTGACTGTACAGGAATGTGATAGCAATAAGGTGTTTCCCTCAAACAACCGGGATTCGAAGCGGCCATGCCTTCTCACATCATAAGGATGTGTCTAGAGAAGGCCGATCATAGTTATTGCACTTCATCTTACACCATTGATATCCATTTCCAGACACTAGATCTTTTGAAAGAGCCTTAAGTCATCGAAAGCTTTTCACAAAAAGGCCGTGAATGACTGGCCCTAAGTAGCTGTTCCCCAGGCTCTGTAGTCACGCTCTCAGGTCTTCCCGCCACTCATAACCAAGTTTCATTTTCAGCCCCCCCCCCAATGCCTTCTCACAGTGTAAGCAACAGGAAAGTGTCCATGCTTAAACGCATCCTGCTATTTTTTTAATATTGAGAGTAAAATATGATTAGTCACTGAACTTGGACAAACAGGCACATACTACTGATTGTTAAATGTGATTTCCTTTCCTGTCATGATTTTTACTCCAGACTCATTAAGACTGACTGCTTGTAATGATGTTGAATAAGGTATTATCTAGTCTATACTTTGGCTCTCTATTGTGGGTCGTTAATCCTGGATCTGATATAACATGACTAGTCTTGTTGTCATATTAACGTGTCATTGTAGTACGCATGAGAGAGAAAAAATATTTTCGACAATCCGTTATACCAAATATTTTACACTGAGATATGTACACATAATAAGTGGTTATCAAACGTTGAAAGTTACAGTTTCAGATGAAGTTATTTGAATCGAATGTCCTATGTTGTGCAAAAGTTTATTTGACGATTTTAATAAGCCTATAAGTAGATTCATCGGTAAGTGTAAATATCCTACCGAACTCCTTGTGTTCGAAAAAAGAAAAGAAACTATAAAAGTGTACAAGGACATTGACTTGGTAACTTGGAAATTATCTAGCAGTTTGTTTTAGAAATACTCACAACATACAATGATAAACAAAGTGTATACTATGACAGTACCAGGTATCGATTTGTTTGAATATGCTTTAATTAAGTTACTTTTATGCTTATTTTGCAACAACAATGTCCATTGACACTTGATTAAATCATTTTTTGCGAATGGTTTAGCTACAGATAGGCTTGTCGCATAAAATCACGCTAAAAAAGATCTGTAAGTCTTCCTAAACTTGAAGCTCAGGTTCTACAAATTTGTAATTTACTCGGATATTTTCATTGGAATGAATATCAAGTTATGGTTTGAACTTACTGAAATGATGTACTTAAAACCATTAAATGAAACTTCTTAAACTGTTTACTATAATCTACGTCATACTTTGTTGTTATCACACAGTTTTTGGCCCCTCTTGCATCAACTAGCAAAATGCTGCGTTTTTTGTTGATGTATGACTTTTTCGCACTACAAATCTTGACACGTTCATGACAGCATATGAAAAATTCCTCAAAAATTCTTTAATATCACCTATAAATGTAGGTGCTTCATTATCATTTACCAAAATACATCACCTTTTTTGTATACCTAATCAAATTTCCACTTTATAGTCTCTAGAGTTCGATATAGTACGATTCTGGCTAAATAGTTTCCTGTTATGGTTAATTACATAATTGCCATGTGAGGGTTAACTACAATATACAGCTGTTAGGGCTAAATTCAGTAAAGTGAATTTTAAGGTTTAGCACAATGGTTGGGAGTCTAGACTTGTTGTTTTACTAAATATTTTATAATAATTAATCCTAGGAGTGATGTCATTTAGCTAGTAAACTTAATGAGGAAAGCTGTGATATACGTTGTCTTCTATAAAGATAATTACTTGGATCGGTTTTATTTTTTTATACGTATGATCTGCGTGGTGTTTTTACCCTTCTGTCCTAATTTATGTTTTACGGAAAATTCATTCTTAATCTTAATATCAACTTTTAAGAAAGTGATTTTTGTTTAAAATATTTTGACAAGTTTCATTATATTTTTATAGCTTACTCTCCTACGATGCTGATGGATTTCAAAGTCATTTGGCAGATGTCTTTTCTCAGATGAATGATGTTGAAGTCCATCTAAACAACTTGGAAGCTTGGGCTGGACTTCCTCCTGAATGCTTCACTTCAGCTAGTTTGAACTATGGCATCCCAGATCCGGATCAAGTATCTCATGAAGCCCAAACCCTAGTTGAGGCTATCCGACATTTACAAGCTGAATTGCGTGCTATGACTACAAAAAGTCAAACAAACAGCGCACTCGCCACAGGGAATGTGCCATCAGTTCCTCCAGCTGAGAAAAGTGATAATAACCAGGATCGCACTACATCTTCAATTCTGAATACAGTTGCAAAACAAAGTCCTCTTCCATTAACGGGTATAAAATCTGAGATTACTCCTTATTCTGTCCAGTCTAATCCATGTATATCACCATCTGCTGGTGATCCGAATCAAGGATATGTAGATACATTGCCACAAATACCATCTTTTCCATCAAATGAAGAAGGACGTAGTTGCCATCACACCGGCAGTAGACCATACAATTCCAATACTAATACAGCTACCCGTTCACCTAGTATCGATCGACGTCAACAATCTACTATTTCGACTGACGTTTACCGCGTGACATCTGGACACCATTCTTCATTTCCCTCACCTATCCCACCACAACAATATGTTTCTGGTCAATGCAATCAGTTCCCTCCTAGCTCTGTTGAAACCGTATCTTCAAATCGTATGGCTTCTGAAACGTATTCGCAATACACATCACCAGGGTGTTTAACACGAACAACTGAACAGTACACACCAAGACCTCACTAATATTAATTTTTTTACTTTAAACTGGGTAACTTTTACAATCATGATAACATCATACAGGATGACAGTGTTAACTTTTGATCTGTGTACAAAATTTGATCTCTTGTCAAACGCCTTTATATTTCAACAATAGATAAACGTTTTTTTACTAGTTTCTAGTTTTTGTTGAATGCATTTTTGTTGCTGAGTGGTAGTACAGGCAGCGATATCCACAGAAAACCCATGATGAAAAATTTTGTTTGTTTTGATTGCATTCAAATTATGTTAACTGCTTCTAAGCATATTGTACTTTTTTTCTACAAAATATGCATAATACACAACCAATAGGCTGTAAAAAGTACTACAAATAATATTAAATGTAGTTTTTCCTGTCGGGGGTGGTTTCTGAACACACAGAATAGTTTTTCATTACTGGGTGGCGAATTGCTAATAATCACTAAAGATTGAATCCCGCCTGGGGCTTTTCTTGGGTTACTGCCAGTCCTAAACCCGTCTAAGGGAGGAGGTTTGGGTATAAGGTTAACAATCCCACCCTGTATGAAAGGACCTTGATAAAAAAATACTCTAACTAGATAAAGTCGTCCTAATCATTTCATGTTAGATTTCTTCGTTTCTCACTTCCTCAACTTCCATAGAGATCAAACGTATCTTTACTCCCAGTGTGGTTAAAATTATCCTAGTATATCCTTAATATTGCCTCATAAAAATTAACTGATATAGAATTATTTCCGAATATCACTTATAAACGTCCAAAAGTGTTGTTACGTGTGGAAAGTAAACTTCAAAAGTGGTTCATTTACTCACCAAGTTTGGAGTTCACAATAAACCATGAAATCCGGTAAGACGATTTTTTTTTGAAGTTCCTCTTAATAACCATTAGATTAAACTTAGCTACCAAAAAGTGTTTAGTATAGGGATTAAGTAATTATTTATTATAAGTAAAATGTCCCATCTGTGCAAGTTTGTATTTAACTTAGTAAGTGAACAATTATTGTAGAGGATAATATTTCTAGAAGTAGACTTGGTTCATCATTATAATAGCTACTTATAGATATCAGAAAAATGAAGAAGGTAGTCGGTTATCTTATTTGATCAGTAGTAGCCGCTAACATTACGTATTATAAAAAAATTGACATTGTGTACTACATAGTTACCATGTAAAGCAGACAATTGAGATTGTTAGGATCTTCGAAGCTGTCTATATATATATGAGCAGCAAACTTCTGTCTTTTAAGAAGCTTTAGATTTAACTTAAAACTCTCGTTTGTTATAAATAGAGACGAATAGTGGCTAACAATGGAACCTAGGAGGCGCTTTTTGTCTTACTGGGGACTCGCCAGCCGTAAAAACCTGCTACCAGAGTTGATATTCACTCCGGGACTCGAACTCAACACCGTTCGCCTCAAATGCCATCGCATTAATCACATAGCTACTGAGTTCAGATGCCCACTGTCTTGTGCAATACGAATGGATTAAACTTCACTCCATCGTACAAGTCACTTATACGATGACGCACTTTTCAAACAACTATTCAGACTATAGGGATATTTCAATCAATTTTAAATTTTGACATCTTATCAGGTAATCTTTGGATTCTAGACATAATATTAAATTATTATCTTTTTAGTTTCAGATATCTCCAAAACTTCACCTTTGTTGGTCAAACAGCTTCCCTCGTTGTGATAGTTTTTTAAGTTGCGTGAGAAAATGCGACAACTTATTCTCAATATCTCTAAGCACTTCTTCAAAATATCCATCAAACAACCAAAAGCATTGGAACAAACTTGGTGTGAATCCTGATCAAAAACCAGGATGTTCTACTACTTATTGCGAGGCTGAAACAGGAGTGAGGAGTTTAATACGTGTGCCTAATCATCGGATTGCAGGTAAGACCAGTGGGAGTTCTTCAGAGGCGTATGTACAACCAAAACCACTCAATATACAATATAATCCACGTATGTATGATGGTGGCCTGCTTCCAAGATTAAATTTTACTGACAAACAAGTTGTTCTACCTGAGCATAAACCACGAGACTTTTGGTCCCCACATCGAGCACATTTTGGTCAAAATGACTACATTGGTATGTTTACCATTTTTTCCTACATATAACGTAGATTGTTGCATCTACTCACCATTTTCTTTGTATTTATATAACAAAACAAACTTCACTCTGATTCGTCACTGTTGTCACACAGATCTGTATAACCTAGTTTTATGGAAATTGAAAATATCTTCAAGGTAATGAAATTTTCAAGAAGACGAAGGTAATAAACCAAAAGTTTACAATTTATGGATTAAATAGTATTGTGGTGTGAGCTACTTATATTCATATAAGTAGTATATAACGTGCGTTAAATAAACGTAAGGTCCGGCAGCAGAAGATGGCGAAGATCAAGAAAGGAAGGCAAAGCACAATGAAATTGTAAGAAAACACATGTACAATGGGATAGGAGACAATGGATTAGTGTTTGCAACGGGAACAGTACAGTTTGATATGATGGAATGATATTTTGCAAATTGACGATTGACTTTATGGTATTCACATTTTATTGAGATAGTCTGTAATCTTTGTGCTAAATACAATCGATTGTCCCCACCCGTGTTCTTGTTCACTACAGTATGAGATACTCGCTTGCGATACCAGAAAATGGTCTCATCGATCATAACTTGTTTGGTGTCGACGAATTTTGAATACTGGATTTAGACGCAAAAAGTTTATTTTGATCAAGCTTTAACAGAGCCTTACGGTTTTGTGCTTATTTTATTATGCTTTTAAGGTGAAACGTTAAAAAGTCCCAGGATCATGTTATTTCTTGTTGCCTAGTGACGTTCAATCGTTTTTTAGTTTTGTGGTGTGTATAATCTTTACGTCGTTTAACGAATGTTTTGTGAACAGTTATTCTTGTATAAATGTGTACATGTACTTAATTGTGAGGGATTGACACAGGCAAACAGTTATATCAAAGCTGCACACTAACTCATCAAAATCGTCAAACTTCATAACACTTCAGAAGATCTGGAGTCTTACATTGAGAGCTCAGTAATTATTAAGGCTAATAGGATATTCAGTATTTGGAAATGAAAGCATGAATATATCTGCATCATTTTGATGTTTATTTTTTAAAACTATATCCTAGTCCTCAACCAGAGAACCATGATCGAGAATTCTTCATTTCTATAAACGACTAGAATAAGCAATCAGTGACCGATGACATGTTTTGGTATGACAACACTTAACTTTTTAACAGATTAATCCTGCTTTACCCAGAATCACACAGAATGAACAGTGACTATGCATACGTAACACAACCTCTCTCGCATACAAATTCCTGGACCCTATCATCTACTTTACTCCATTTCGCTTAAAACTTTACGTATTACTAATATCTCAACAAATGAACTTAGGCTCCATTCCGTTACTCACTGATGTATAAGCCTAATTTCTGAATGTTCAACAATGTGGTTCGTATTTCTGCTATCATTTTTGTGATTTCGCTTTGTTTTAAAAGTTCATTATTAACAAGCCGACACATGTAACAGTTTTGATTAACTAAAGTGGTAACTTAATTACCAAGTACGTAATTATGTACTAGACTTCAGACGTCAACCTTTTGGGCATGAGAATTAATGATATTAGCTAGCTATCCGAACCGGAGTAGAGTTTAAAACTGCAGTCTACTGTTTACAAGACTTAACGTCTTGTAATTATTACTCCACTGCATCACAATAAACTGTAAAATTACTGGTATGTTTTACTCAGTCTTATCAAATACTTCGTATGTATTTCGAAATGATTATACTAGTTTTCGTATTTATTAAATGGCATTGTTACTAGTAGGTTTATTTTCCTCATATTTTAGATATTCTAGGTGATGGAAAAATAAAACCACGTGATTTTTATACTGGACCTCCATGGGTATTAGGTGCACGAAATGAATATCAACGTGTATGCTCGCGACTTAACAATCCAGCTATCGTTGCATGGATGGAAGAGTTCGAACCATCTAAATTGACAGCTGAGTATAAATTGCAAAGATACTTGTTCAAGAAAGTGAACAAGCGTAAAAATATCAAATTTGAACGTTATCGTGATTCGCCCTAAGTTGTTTTGTCACTGATTCGACAATGTTTTGTTTTTTCTGCTGTATACTTGTATATATGCATTAAATAAATAAATAAATAAATCATGTATGATTTCATTTCACACTTCTTTGAGTAGAAGGAAGATCCAGTTGGGTCATAGTACCTCGTACAGTAATCCCACAGTAAATAGGAAGTTATACAAATTACGCAATAGTTATTTTAAGTAATAGACCATTCACTTTTCTTGCTTCATTGGTAAAAAGATTGACCTCGAAAAGCTACCTTGTTTAGGCCGCCTCATAACATTTCATTCTCTCTAGTATTTTTTCCGGTTGCCAATGATAATCCTTAAAATGTCTGTTGAAATATATAGTAGTGAGTTGGTTGGTTATCGATTTCGTGACAAATAATGCATGTGTACACAGATTGTATTCTTGTTGATAGTTCCTATAACTCGTTAATCTTCAGTACGGACCGAATACTACTTACCAGAAATACATATCTACTTTTTCAATTGATTCATTAGAATGCTGAGTTTGTAATTAAATTTTTAACTTACTATCATGTACTCACTCTCTTTACATAACTTAGTCCTTCCTTTATTGGATTGGTCCAAATACTAATACTGTCAATTGTAATGTTCTTGACAGTCTCTAAAGGATATGATGTTGAATCTTGAGATGTACATACTTTTAAACAAATTTTGTTGACAAGACCAAACAGACACACAGTTCTGACATATTAAATGAACTTCACAAGCAGATACACTATGATTCCATTCGCGGGAAAATCCTATATGCTTCCTAATCAGTGTTTATTTAAATTATATTTGCTCCTACAGAGTCAGTTACCTTTTACATCTTGTGAAGACTGTCCAAATGTTCAAGAATAACACCAAACAAGATAATTAAACCGAAAAGTACATTTAGGGGAAGTAAATTATATATTCAACGTAAATTCGTCGTTCTTATTTACGAAATCCATAGCTAACTGCCAAATGGTGTTTGGTCTTTTCCAAAACCTAGCTAGTTTCGAAAAAAATTCTAAAGTTAAAATATAATGGTAATTGCGATACATCATTTTTGGATTGATAACTGTAGAGCCTAGAGGAAGGTTGTTTTAAATGTTATTCATTTTGTAATATTTACTTCACAGTGTTCTGTTAAGATTCCATTCCTGCATTAAAATCTCACAATTAAGGATAAGACTTAACAAAAATATGTGGCTTTTAAAATTGCTCATCATAATGAGGATTCTGTGTACTGTCATGTATTTGTTTAATGGTAGAATAACCACTTAGAGATATCCATGATTTTCCATAACTCTATGCCTTATTTTACAAAACAAGCGTAGTTACTGGAGATGTGTTTTTTGTCTTAGTTTATGCTTTTGAATGTTTGTGTGGAACTCGATGAAAACTTAAAATTATGGCCACGAGGAGAATAAGTTAAGGCTCCACAAAATAGTACATCAGTTTCACGTTTCTACATCCCAATAGTATAATAAGAAAAAAGATATCTAAATATAACTGGACAAAATAAAGGTATATATGAACGAGAAGTTAGACTTTTTAGAAAAGAATATAAAATTAATTCACTAGCACCATTTTCATACGTTTACCTTCACTTTTCTGACCACCGATATATAAAACCTCATCTGGAAGATTTTGTTTTGTAATAAGATAATGGAGAAAACATAGCTAGAGATGAAGATATTCGGGGTGTTGTGATCTCTAACCTGAATGATTTGATTGTAAAGCTTTCGTCGCTCTTCTAAACAACATCTCCAGCACGTGCTCCAAAGAAAAGTGGTTCATAGGTTGTACTATTAACCACTGACACATTTTTGAACTCTACCCAATTCAGCTTGGCGTTCCCGTAGTATCGGCAGTTTTCATAGCCAACCACATGGACTTGTTGTTGATGATAGTCACGCTAACAGAATGTTTAACAGTAACCCTGTTTAAATCTACATGTCAAAGGCCAGTAAATCCATCTATTGATGCCAAGTCAAATTAATCACTAAAGATCTAACCAATTTATTGTCAAACGAATTAGTATAGTACTTTTTGGTGACACTTGACATTAATAACTACCGATTAAATCTCAATGAATTCCCTTCACTTTGACTTGTTCCATATCTGTTGAGTAGTAGATCAGATAAACCTATATACGTTTCCACTTAGTTTATTGGAAAACCCATTGAGAAATGGAATCAAAGCTCAAAACTAAAACACCAATGCTTTTCTCTAGAATTCGCTAAAGTCATTAAGTTCAATGTTCCAAAATACCTACGCCACGCTTGAATATATATCCATATGCCACAACATTATTACCATGATGCTGGCGCTTGAATAACAATTGTTCAACATTGAGATTTATTGACCGTTGTTAACTCTAGAATTTGTAAAAACTGCTTGCACCAAAATTTGAGTGATCAGGGTGATGTTATGACGTTTTCAAAGATGTTGCAGATTAAAGTAAGCCCATGTGGTATTCGCTTCAACAAGGCTGGTATAGTCTTTGAGGCTAACATCAGCACCAACGTCACAACTGAGGTAGAAGACTACTACTAGCGGCTTGCTATCGAAAGTGAACACAGATACAGTTTTCTTTAAGTTTTCACGAGTTAGACTTTTCTCGCACATTAATGATGTCTGTATTGGAAGTGCGTACTGGATGGAAATCGTTTATATTTCTAAAAAAGCTGTAAATGTCGGCAACCCTTATTTGACTATCTAAAAACATGGTCCTACTGAAAACTCAAATAATGCTCAACTATGCCTCGACATTAAATTTATGCATTCAAATGCACTGAATTGCGAAACTCATAAGGACCACAGTTCAATCTATTTTTTATTGTATGTAAACTATAATCCTTCTACATGTAGATAAGGATAACTGAAAAATATGGGGTTTTTAATAAACATGGATATTTCTAATTGAAATAAGTATCCACGAAACTTAAATTAGAGACGAGATTAATATGCCTTGGTGTATTACGAAATAATGCAAAGTCATATTTCTCACAGTTTGGTCCATTGTTTAACTATTCTATCTCATCTTTTATATTGTATACATTGAACAATATCAGGTCTTCCACCACTTATCTCTTTCGACTTATGCTTCCTTCGAGTTTCCTGGGTGTAAGCGAATGAACTATAGAATCTATTGAACTTTCTGTTCACTTTAATTTCATATCCTTTTACATGTATTGTCATTTAAAAAAGGATTTCCTTATATAGAAACCAGAATCAAACGTCTTTTATTCTCGTTTGTTGAAAATCAACTATTTTCAGTATAATAAGCAAAGATGGTTGGTGGCTAGCAGTCCTAAACATCAATGGGAAGATTCAAATAAACAACATCAAATGTATTCCCAGTATATTTTTATAGCATTGAGACATATTTGAGGAAAACCAATCACATTTTCATTTGTCTTGTTGGGTGAAATCCTAGTTCTTGAGGTTAGTCACTTTGTGACCTTGATATATTAGGAAGGCACTGGTTAAATGGTTAGAAATCCGTATTAATGAATCTATGCCTGTCTACCTAATCTTTCACTCCGCTTTTGATTTGTGCTAAAGGAATCGTAACACAGATTATCCTTTACCCAATCATATATTCGATTAGGCAGTAGGTAACAAAACACGAAGTTAATATTTCTATTACCCTTTAACTTTGTCTGTATATACACGTATATAATCATTTAGACCACAGATGTTCAAATAATCTCCACACTATTTTACTGCATGAATATACAACTTTGTTTATCTAGTGACGTGCATGTATGCATTTGTGCTGTCCCATTATATTGATTGGACTAAAAAATGTTATAGAAAAGATGGAAATGTTCTAATATTATTCATAAGTATAAAATATTCTGCGGATTTTCTTTTTTGAAAGATCCTTATGAGTTTAACTTGTAATATTCGTAATTTAGCTGACCAAGTTAAACATAAATTAATTGGTGAACGTAGGAGATCATCAAGTTCACATGAGTCAGATAATTCTGGGGAAATAAGTGGCAAACATGGAAGACGTATCACTATTCAAAAACCTCACCAATATACCATCCAATCTGAGCAAAAAGATCAACAACTACATCGAACAACAACGACGAATACAGAAGTATCATCACAAAAACACAAGATACATCAACAGAGCAATTTATTGCATGACAGTAATGATAATAATAATTCCCTACCATCTGATCTAAACAACAGGTCAATACCACTTGAAACAAATAATACAACTGATAAACGATTACAAAAACAGCAATGTCACTTGATAAAATCTATGTGTTATTGTCAAGTTAACTCAACATGTCCAAATCAAACAAACTGCACAATATCAAATACTAATAACGTGCAGTCTATACCTCCTTCATCATGTATGCATAATACACAAAAATTACAAAATATACCTACTCATAAAATATGTAAACAAATTACTCCTACGTCTAATCCATCACCTATTTTACAAGATCGTTCACAAGATTATTCAGAAAATGAAACAGATAATAATATTGTATCAGAAACATCAATACAACATCATTGTTGTAATCAAACTCCTAAATATTATCAACAACATCATTCTAAACAACGTGTATATGTTTCAAATAATGAACATTCAAGGCATGATATAACTCGGTATGCAGATAATAATAGTTTAACATTATCAGATACATTTATTTTAATTCATATTGAATTTAAATGTGTATTCACTAATAATTTTAAGTCTAATTTCACAATGTTATTTTGTCTTAAAGATTGATTGATAAAGTTTCGACTTGAGATACAAAAAAGTTGAACTTTCAAATCTAGTTTGTTGACTCTTGAATGTTTGATTAACCAAGGTATTCTTTTTAAAATAGCAACGTAGTATCAAAAGTTAAGGTTATTCAAATCACCGTATCAAATGATTGTTTGACTCTGTTCACAACCGGTCTATCTTGATGATTTAACTTAAGATATAATCCAATACTACTAATCTGTTATTTATTTCTAGCTGGAATGATCAATTAATGAATGTGGGAAACAATTAATCGAAACCTAATAAATTCTTCGTCATAGTGAAAATATGTCTGAGACACAATAGTTTATCAACTGACTTATATGGAAACGGTGATGAGTTTAATGTGGTTTAAATAATAACTTGTTCTCAAAAAAAACTTAAGAGATTCAGTTCGGTAATGATTTTCTTTAACACTGAAATATAACATAACAGTTATTTACTTATCATTTATTTTAAACGATCATTCGACTAATATCGACTTATAATTGAATCCAACATGAAAAATATCTCAGTACTTTAAATAATTAATTTCACGTGTGTTTTAAAAGCTCCAACCCATAGGAAAGGTGAAAACTTAATGAAGACAAGTTATTGAAGAATTGTGATGGGATAATGGTTAATTTTTAAATATTTGACTACAACCATATGTCCACCAAATATCTTTGTACCATCAATCCAATGGTATATCAACGGAATCATGACACTAGACTGCTTAGATTTAGAAGCTCTAATAGCTCAAAAGTTCTTCTACCCGTTTGCGAATTTTGTTTTTCTGTCAACTGTATTAATTGTAATCGTCAAGATTTTAACCTACCAGTCAATAATATCGTTAAGAAATACACGAATTAAGCAGTACAAAAATACTGATAGTATGGGTAGTTAAGCATCTGGAAACTACTTAACGTCATCTCAAGTTTTACTGTTATTTTCTGTATGTGCTAATAATATTTAACTCGTTGGAGTATCTTTCAGTACATTTTCCCATCATATATACCAATATTTGTAAGTATATACGAGGTGACTTTTGATGAAATATCCCTGATGTAAACTCAAACTGTTTTTTTCCAGGATTTCTGTGCTTTTATCAACTATTTTGTGAATAGATTATAAAGTACACACAATAAATATAAGTTTCTTTCTTAACTCCATTCTAATCTTTAGAATATATTTCTATGCTTTTTTCTCGATCACTGAAGCATGAGAGTATTAAGATGAAATTTACTTTAAACTTATATTACAAATCTCACGAATAGTTTGCTTTTGTTTACAGTTATATGACCTTAAAAAATAATGTATCTATATGAGTTCTCTCGATCCACAAACCCAGAAAAAATTAGCAAGATAAAAGGTATACGGACGAAAACAATAACACCAATACTTAATAAAAATCAAAAATAATAACGAAAAATCTGTGCATATAAATTAGTACAATGATGTTCAGTCCAAGACTTACTAAAAGATAAAAAAAGTGAATACAGTATCAGGATTATTGAAGCCTGTTTTGATCCGCACTATGATTATCTTATGGACAATAATCTTGAAATCTTACTAGGCTTAAACCAATGACTTTAAGAGATCATGAAATATTTTGATATAGGTATCATTAACCTTCAAGGTTAAGTATTATAGCGCACCAACGTAGGAGGTGGGTAGGCATATGGAAAATATATTTCAACAATCTTACCTGGTAACTTTTGACAAACGCATTACGGAGCTTATTACTTTTATCTTATACTGTTTGCCTTATGTTAGTACTATACGCTTAAAGGTCCTATTATACACAAGCTCTGTATCAAATATAAGTATAATCAAACACTTGGAAACTTCTTATGTCTTATACTTTCAAAGGATATGTTTCACAGGCAAAACGTAGTCAAGAAAGTGAAATATTGCTCAACGTGCTAACACTTTGATTTCACAATTTCAGTGTTTCAACTATCAGTTTTACTAATGAAGGTTCCACGTTTTAAATTTAGTGCTTAATCTCTTAAATGTGAGGTATATCGGCATGAACTGTCATTTATGAATATTATTTCAGTTGGTTAGTTAATCTTTAGCACTTTCTATTATTTCAGATGTTGACAGAACATGTCTAATATACTTTTATTCCTCACAAATTTTTCCATACAGAAATGAATCGCAACAAAACATTAAGGCTTCACCTACATCTCATGTCAACAGCAAAATGTGCAATCAGTATAAAGGAAATACCTCCAAGGAAAGCAAAAACAATCCCACCACTTCTAATACTAGTACCATTACTACTGTGGCATCTACTTCTAATGTTACTAATAACAGTCATAAAATGTTTAGCTGTCATCAAAGTTCTGATATAAATTTACACCAAACAACAGATTATCCTTTAATGAATGAGTGTCAACAACAACATGGATCGACATATTTCATTCCACTTGTACCAGATCTATCAATTCCACAAGATGAAACACGTTCAGGTAGTTTGGGCAGTGCATATCCTTCTCATTGTATACCTTATCATTTCGGACATAGTAAGTATGCTTTACTTCAAGGACACAATCATCAACATCATCTACTTCACCGTCATTCTCACAGACATAATCATGCTAATATTAATGTTACTGAGAATCATAGTAATAATATGAAATCAATGCATAACAATAAATATAATAATCCAAGATTAACAATGAGTTATTCTGAACTATTAAATTCATTCATCCCACATCATTGTCATAATCAATTCAAATTGTGTGGAGTTAATGATGTCAATAATATCAGTAATAGTACTGGTAATGATGTTAATGATGTTAACATTGAAAGATTAGATCAGTTAACTCAATCTCAAACTATAGATTCCAATACTTCCAATAATCTATGTCATAGATCAACAAATATCAGTCAACAATTCAATACCGATAACAATCATGGTAACAATAATGAGATTATTCATACTGATGATACTTCATGTAATCCACAAGTATTATTAAATAATTCTGAAATGAGTGATATTGATGATATAAGTCAATCTAATTCTTATCCAATACAATCAATAACAAAAAATAATTCATTATTATTATTAAATGAACAAACTATTAATCAAATAGAATTGAATCCACCTATTTTACCTACTCGTACAAGTTCATTAATTATGAATAATAAAAAGTATCATTCTAATAAACAGAATAAAATAAATAATACATTACCATCTATTTTAATACCTAGTTCATCATCATCATTATCTAATTCAAATAATGATCAAAATTATATTATGCAACAAAGTATGATAGATTATACTCACAATCATGATATTAATCATTTACATTATTCTATAACTAATTTAAATCATTTACAACATTTAAATTTATCTCAATCTAATCATTTATCTAAACATAATAAAATTGCCAATGAAAGAAACTATGAAAATACATCGGAATTCATTACAATGATAGAATCTATGGAAACAATATCTAATAATGAATTAATGATAAAATCATATTCATCACAACAATCACCAACATTATGTAATCATGAATTACCAATAACATCATCATCTTCTTCTTCTTTATCACCTGATTGTAATCAAAATAATATAATAAATTTAAATCAATCTATTGAAAGATCATCAACAATTACATTAACTGATTCTTCTTCTAATAATAAACAATTAAATTTATCAAATCAATCACAAATTAATTATAATCAGTCATTGATTTCTGATTATATTCCAACAAGTCCATCATGTGGTGCATTAGAGCAATTTATGCCAACAAATCATGCTTCAAGATTACTTGGTCGTATGTCTGATAAATTACGTGATGGTCGATTAGCTGATGTGATTTTAATTGCTGGTATGAAATTGAATAATAATAATAATAATTCAATATTATCAACAAATACAAAATATCCAAATGTAATTAATGATTCAATTCATGCATTAAATAATCATGGTAAATCAGATTTAAATAATTCATCTAATGAATTAATTATTCGAATACCTGCACATCGTGTTATATTAGCTGCAGCTAGTGATTATTTTGCTGCTATGTTTGGTAATGAATTAAAAGAAGCTACTGAACAAGAAATATGGATTCATGATGTTGAACCTAATGCATTAAAAACATTGATCAATTATATTTATACAGGTAAAAGAAAAATTTCTTTTCCAACATTATTTTATGAACATTCCTATTATCATTTGATTTATATTTTGATTATTCCATACAGTGAAGTTACTAGATTAAGAGAATATTTTCTAGGAAAGTTGAAAATAGACCAAAGACTAGAGAATACAATTCTGACCATATTTTAATGGAAAAAATTTTTACCACTCATTGAATGTGATATGATTGTTTGAATAGTTGGATAGTTTCTTTATGTAGTGAATGCCCAAGTGTTTGTTTCTCTCTGAGACTGTATTCAATGTCTATCTGTTATTAGTGAAGCAAACTTGTATAATAGAGTATATATATGTTTTCTAGACACTTAGTCATTGTTTATTCTTTAAAAATGGAAAATGTCTGTTCCCGGTACTATTTTATTTACATATTTAGAAAATGATTTATACTTTATAATTGACTTTTCTTTTGATGTATACAATATTCAATAGTTTCTCGTTTATTTACTTCTAGTATTTCATTGTAAATATTAGTCACCATTTTGTTTAGGAATAAAAGAAAGAATCATACGTCTATGACAATAGTAGGAAAATCTAAGGTATCTGAAAAATAAATTTTCAGAAAATAAGGGATTCTCAGTGAAAACTATACTATTTAGAAATAGAAATTCGTTTTTTTTCATGTCCATTTTTCAATTCCAAGTTTATGTATAAGATTACAAGATATTCATCATTAACTATTATCTAACTTCTATCACATAAGCCCTGAACAATTTCTGATCAAGTAATATATTGTGGTGTCGATAGATATAAGTAGTATGTGTCATCAACCGAAAGTGAAATGTCTGGCGGCGGAAGGTTAAGAAGATCGAAGAAAATAGCACGAGAAGGAAGAATGAAACGATTGATTAACATTTGGCAAATGAAGCATTTACTGTTTCATTCACAGATTTTACTATGACTTTCTGTAATTTTATGTTCGAACACAGTTTCTGTAAAACTGTAGCTAGTAGGAAAATATGTTTCGGCCACTGCAATTTCTGTATTCGAGAGACGAAACTATTCATGTGATTTCAACAGTTAAAAAACAAGTAACCTAAAAGTCTATAAAATAGACATATTGGGCTTTTTAGAACGTATTCCTTATGGGTAATATTTTTCTCAAACTTTGAACACCAATGGGGACAACAAAATTACAGAATCTCTTAGTAAAATCTGAGAATCATACAGTAAATTATTGATTCGCAAAATATCAATCAATTGTCTCAGACTTGATTGTTCCTTCGTTTCCGCATCAATCACTCTTTGTTCTCGTTCACTTCGATCTTATTAACCTTCGGCCTCCAGGCTTTTCACTTTCGGTTAGTGATACATATTATTTATATCTGCCGACATCAGTAGCACACCACAATACTACTTAACTTTCAAACATAAACTTAGATATTCATTATGGATAGGGAAGTGAAGTGTCGTGATTACTGATAAGACCAGTGTGCGATTATGTGGCTTAAAAATGAACATAAATATTGATAAGGTTTAATAAAATAAAGTTACACCATTCAGGCAAATAAATTGATAGTAGTTTATACATATGAAGCTTATATGTTAGTGTAATAAAATAAAGTTTCTTAGACGAAGACAACACTAAGACTAATATCATCAATATTTCGATACTAGAAATCCTATAACTGGTGTAATGTTAAGCGTAAATAGATTAAGAATCATTAAGTGCATTTTGTTTACTTTTATGATGAAAGGTAGAGAGAAAAAAATGGAGAAGTTAAGAGATAGGAGATCATATGACAACTTTTTTATTATCAATGTTATCTACGCGTGTAGGAGCCTTATTTTTGTCCAAATCAAATGACAAATTCAGTTGAATAAATATCACCTCGTCTTGCTGATTCTCATAGCTATTCACAAAACCTGTCCATTAGATAAGTAGTTTCTTATTACTGTAATAACTTGAGACGTTTATCTCATTTTGTTTCAGAAGATAAAGTTGACAGAATAAATTAGAATAACACGAAGTTGAAAACCGATCTTACTGATAAATTCTAATATCCAATCATTGAAACAAGAATGAAACCATCTGAATAAAGCTTAGATTACAAGTTGCATAAAATAATTTAAAATAGTGTACATATCGTTTAATATATCTGGTTTTCAAATAACCGCGATATTAAAATACCGAGTTGATTTTTTAAATGAATATTCATTTAGATTGTAAATTGTTCAATATTCTCGTAAGAGGTCGTAGCCTAAAGTGTCAACCTAGTTAGAAGTGAAACAGTCATCACTAATCGCATCGGATAGTCAACACGGGAACATCCGAACTATTGGATTACGATTCAGTGGTTTGGTGGTATTGTGCTGTGCCCATCTTAGATACACTTTATATGTAGAGCTTTGACCACATATTGTTGAGGTGGTCAAAGCTGGGATAAAGCAGTTGTTTAGTACTCATCCATATAATATGACTTCATGATAAACACTTTCTTTCAAACTATCCTCCTAGTTTTGTAGAATCCTTATTTTAAACAATTTCTTATTTACAGTAAATATGTTAAACTTATTTTTTTCTTCTCAACTTATAATTTCTAGGTTATCTAGATTTACGTGAGGAAACTGTTAGTGATTTGTTAGCGGCAGCTTGTTTTCTACAAATTACTGAAGCATCACAAACATGTGAACGATTTTTAACTAAACGTTTAGATGCAACAAATTGTTTAAGTATGTCACGTTTAAGTGAACAATATGGATGTGAATTATTAAGAAAACGTTCTACAAAATTTATTTTAGTAAGTTTAATTTTATTCTAAAAATAAATAAATTTTATTCTACTGATAAAACTACTTTCGGTAATTTAAACCTAAAAATAAGAAATCAGTTGTCTATTCTGTAAGTGACTGTTGGGCTTCTATCAAAAAGTTTAACAAAAAATAGTTGTAACTTTTCCGGATGGGTCACATTGTGACTAAATGATTAAATGATTTAATTTCTAACCTTCCAGACACTTATTCCTGTCTACATGTCAATGAGTCTGTCGATAGTTACATGGTCTAAATATCAAGTTTTGATATATTTTATGCGGCACTCTTTTTTTCATTGGTGTCTACAGTTATCTACGTGTACTGATATGAGAGGAGACGCGTCATGACATCTAACAACTGTAAAATTCCATAAACATTATTTAAAAATCAATCTGGCGAGACTCTAACTTATGGACGACCTTTGAACGAATCTTAAGTAACCTTGAGAAATATTAGCCAATCAGCAAACAGTCAGTATAGAGTAAAAATATGTTATACAAAACCAGGGAAATGTAGTGGATACACTTCTTACACGTGGTTCGAAAACTCGTCAAGGTTAGAAAGAGGTTCAGGGGGTCTAAAATCGTAATGCATGCAGCAGAGAAAATCATCCATACGGCTACAGAATAGTAGGCCTCTGGAGCCATGATAAAGTCTCAAATACTCTTTCAGCCTCGACCACATAGCTTCAATATTGTTTATGTGCACTCCGGTTGTTGAGTACACAAAATTCTACTTCTGGATAACGACATGATGCACATAATCAAGCCTGTGCGGGAGTCTGTACGCTCTTCAAATATCCGTATATATTGTAGTACCTGGCTCCAGCCAGTGTTACTGGTGCTTTTATTATCCAGTTCGCAATAATTATCGTAAATTGCCTTAATCAGGAATTATATATGGGGTTTTCATCACGAACTGACATCAGCTATAATGCCAGAAATCTATTTAGCCAAATGGATGAAAGGCTTTCGCGTCAAAATCCGAGATCTGTTATCTTATACCTGATTGATTCGTCCACAAACTATAGTCTCGCCGTTTTATTTGTTATAGCCGCTCAATTACCACGTTTTGTACAAAATTCCTTGTGAACCGATCGTTAGCATTAAGCACTGAAGTTGGCGCCGTAACATTGAAATCCTTCAAACGCCTCTGATTGGCTCGTCCATAAATTAGAGTCTTGCCACTAATCTTTGTTGTTTTTTTATTAATGATAACTCATGAAAATTCTATTAAAGCTTTGACGAAATACTCTGGTAACTTCCAACATAATAACTCTTCTGACATGAAGTTTAAAAGTGTAATATTAGTAGACTATTTACTTCGTACTATAACGTTACAGAAATTAGAGGAGTATGTTACCAAAATAGTAATTGTAAATTACCCTTCACCAAAAAAACTCGTAACCGTACTGTAAACATTATGAAGAGATCCTCTTGAGACAAATTAAATCTTGCATTCTATCGTATTTTTCAATTTTAAAAATTGATGAGTCCCAAATAAGACGAAACGCGGGTCCTGGATTCCAATGCTAGCCACTATCCATCTTTGCTTAAAAAGCTTGTGACTTAAAGCTATATCGAGGCAATCTGCACAGGATGCACATATGCCAACATGAGACTGATCAATTGCAGTCCTAAATAACAATGGGAAGTTACAAGTGAAACAACACCAAGTGAATATGTTTAAAGAAAGATATAATTTTTTTTTAGCGAAAACCACAATTGATCTTATTATGAAGTTGAAGTTGAATTCATTTGAAAAACAGTTGAGTAATATGAATGATTTTTGATTAGAAAACCTTCATATCAAAATTGCATACACATTTAAACAGTAATTTTATAAATTCGAACCATGTATATTTTCAGTAATGTTAAGTAATTTAAAGCTTACGTTTATTTTTAAAAATCCTATCATGGTCGAATCAGTTAACCTGATATTTACTAATTAGAAATTGTTCTCCCATACCAACAGTAACTATGTACTGGGTAGTATTGATATTTTTGATGGAATCAAAATACTAATAGTGCCTGTTCAATCATAGTTCTATGATAATGAACACAATATCTACAAATATTTGACAATTAATTCATACATAACGTACAGCTATTCAGTTTTATTTTTGGATAAATCATTAGTAAATGACTGACTGTTAAATAGAGTCTAATAATGCAAAAAATTTCCCTTTCCTCTTAAACATTTAAACATTTAATTCTTAGTGTGAGGATTTGTGGAGATTGTAGTATTTTAACAGTTGAATTAGAGATTCAATCTAAGATAGACTAAAATTGGAAACCTGGAAGCAATGGACGGCCGTTTCATCCTAGTATAAAACTCTTCAGAAGTGTATGTCGGCGATCCTGAACGTGGGATTCAAACCCCGAACCGTCGTTCTCGCGCGCGAACGCTCAACCCCTAGACCACTGAGCCAGCACCCAACGGTTTAAATGTCTAACTTCAATCGACCCATGATCTTGCTCAACCCTTCAACCATTAGCTGAGGTGGATGATCGTACCACACCCGACACGGATTGGATTTCACTAGTCACGGCTTCTCACTAGAACTCTAGGAAATCTACTTTGAAGCTAGCTACTAATAAGCACATGATCTAACTGCTTAATCTTCTAACTTAAAGGAAAGTGAAAGAAAGAAATTGAAGTAGTTTATTCACTAATCATGTATGTTCGAAAATCATACCTATTTCTCTCATTGAATATAATAGATCTGATAGAAATAAAGTGTACCTAAGTTATATATAATATATATATATTATATATATATATATATATATATATATATATATATAATATATATATTTGACATAATCCAACAAAGCATAAATTGCTAATTGTACATTTATAAAGTCAATCTATAACGTTTAACTATTGTATTTCTATGCTAATGATGATTTGTTCAAGAGTTGACACGACTCAGATATTTTCTTCTTTGATCTAAATTATATGCTGAATACCAAATGATGGTAATTGTACATATCTCTGTAAATTCTAAACATATTTGTTATTTGTAATGTAGGACACCAAACAACTTTTAGGAAAACCCGCTGATAAGTTGGTAACACACTATTCATCATTATCTTCAACTAGATTAATCAATTTTAGAGACATTTAAAATGGTATCAAATATCTTTATCATAATATTAAGATGAATTTATGGAGATATCCATCTGAAATATAGTCGAAAGGAGTAATGAACATCTGATTATCATATAAACTTTTAAAGGTTCTGTGTTGGAACCTTTTTTTGCTATATAAATTTGCACCACTTAGTTTATTCGTTGTTTTTTCTTTAGAAAAAAATAAGCACACTATGAGAATTTACGAATCGTCATTTTTTTAAAAACTCAGTTATCAAAATCTCTTACACATTTCGACTGTTTCGTTTTCATAATTAAAAACTCTAGGAACATTTTTCAGATGTTGCTCAACAACCAGATTTTCTAAACTTAAATTTTAAAGAACTTGTCACATTGGTCTCTTCTGATCGTTTAAAAGTATCTAATGAGGCTACAGTATTTGCTGCTTGTTTACGATGGATCAGAAATGTTAAACAAAAAGAATGTAAAACAGAAATTTATGGGAATGAACCATTATTGGCTAACTTATTAAAATGTGTACGATTGACCCAAGTACCTCCACGGCTTTTGATTGGTTAGTTAAAAATATTGATTATTCAGATTTTCATTATTACACAATTTTTTTATTTCGATCAATTTCTTTCTTTTTGTAAAACAAGATAACAAATTATTATTTAACCAAAAAAATGTCATGCAAACTAAAAATAATCATACGTAAAATAGCAATCTATTAGCTGATAAAGAAGATAGATTCGATAATGTAAATCTTTGATATTTTACAGTATATATATACTGCAAAACTACAGAGGCATACACTACTGTCAATACCAGGAAAGTCTTCAACAAAGTGTTGCTGAACCGGATGAAGGATGCAGTAGATGCCCAACTTCGAGATCAACAAGCTGGATTCCGAAAGGATCGGTCGTGCACAGACCAAATTGCAACACTACGGATCATCGTCGAACAATCAGTTGAGTGGAACTCGTCACTATACATCAACTTCATTGATTATGAAAAGGCATTCGACAGTGTAGATAGGAGGACATTATGGAAACTTCTTCGACACTACGGAGTTCCTGAGAAGATTGTCAATATTATCCGGAACTCATACGACGGACTACAGTGCAAAGTAGTGCATGGAGGACAGCTGACGGATGCATTCCAAGTAAGGACCGGAGTCAGACAAGGCTGTTTACTCTCTCCCTTCCTCTTTCTTCTGGTGGTCGACTGGATTATGAAGACCTCAACATCTGAAGGAAAACACGGAATACAATGGACAGCTCAGAATCAATTAGACGATCTGGACTTCGCAGATGACCTAGCCCTCCTATCACGTACACACGAACAGATGCAGATGAAGACAGCCAGTGTAGCAGCAGTCTCTGCATCAGTAGGCCTCAGTATACACAAAGGGAAAACCAAGGTCCTCAAATTCAAAGCGGAGAACAGCAATCCAATCACCCTTGATGGCGAAACTCTGGAAGATGTAGAATCCTTCACATACCTGGGAAGCATCATCGATGAACAAGGAGGATCAGATGCAGACGTAAAGGCGAGGATTGGCAAAGCAAGGGTCGCATTCCTACAATTGAAGAACATATGGAACTCAAAACAACTTTCAACCAATATCAAAGTGAGAATCTTCAATACGAATGTCAAGGCAATTCTACTGTATGGAGCTGAAACTTGGAGAACTACAACAACCACAATCAAGAAGGTACAAGTATTTATAAATAGCTGTCTGCGCAAGATACTCAACGTCCATTGGCCGGATACCATCAGCAATAGCCTTCTGTGGGAGAGAACAAACCAACTTCCAGCTGAAGAAGAAATTAGGAAAAGACGATGGAAATGGATAAGACATACATTACGCAAATCGTCAACCTGCATCACGAGGCAAGCTCTAACTTGGAATCCTGAAGGGAAGCGGAAAAGAGGAAGGCCAAAGAACACATTAGGTCGGATAATAGAAGCAGATATGAAAAGGATGAATTACAACTGGAAGGAGCTGGAAAGGATTGCCCAGGACAGGGTTGGATGGAGAATGCTGGTGAGCGACCTATGCTCCATCACGAGGAGTAACAGGTGTAAGTAAGGAAGTAATATATATATATATAAGCAATGTGTTAGTTGATTGGAGGAAGTCTATATGAAATCCTGAATTTTTGTTTTAGGCTAGTTGTTGTCCTTTACCAAGGCATACGTCCAATCTTTAGTGAACTAATAATTTTTCTGCAACTGAAAACTCAGTCACCCTGCGTTAAAATTTGAGATATTACAATTGATCTAGTTTGGCCATGACTAACCTGACATTATAACATAGTTCATACTACAAAGAGTCAATTAGATTGATGACTATCTCAAATGCATCGTTAGAATTCAATTTTCACTAACAGATTAGACAAACACGAGACTAGTTGATTAGTCAATATAAATTTTGGCAATATTCTGATAGTTTATAGCAATTTATCGTCTAAAAAACATTGTAGTTTCACATTGAATTCATCGTTGGATTTTTCTAAGATCATGATATGCTAAAACGATGATGTATAAATGTTTAGCATAGACCTTATATAGGTGTTACCTGTTAGTACTTATAATAATTACCATACACTTGACAAGTACTAATTATAGAACTCGTAAAAAGCTAACGTGAAGTGTGTACTTTACTTTTTTATAGTCTAAAAATTTTCAACTATTGGATATAGTTCTTGTTTACACAAATCTAATAGTCATAAAATATCAACGAACGTATTTCAATAAAAAACCTAGAAAATCGATGAGATTTTCTTGAGATATGAAAGTCTCTATTCGATACATTGGATAATTCAGACATATTTTCTCTTTAGCATTCATCGTTGTAACTGAAACTTCATTAAAATAAATAAAGTATTTCATGTATTTTTGACAAGATGACATCTTACCAAAAGAAATTGTTCATACTAATAAAGATAGTTTGTAAATTTCAGTATGGGTAACTCATATGGAGTAGATGTATGTTGTTCTAATGAAGTAGGTGTGTATTGAGATTATCTACTTACCTAGTAATTATTAATTTAGAGTTTGAATATCTTATAGCAGCTCACGTGCAATTGAGCTTATTCACATTTTGTTTGGTTAAGCTTTGTTGTTAACTTATTTAACGAACCGAGTTATTCATACAATAACAACTTATTCATAACCTTGTACCTTTATTATTGTTGCACTTGTATGAATATGTATGCTTGAGCATTGCTTACTGCTTACGTATATAATCCTTCTGCTAGCCTTATTATTAGTCGCTTAACTGATTCGATGATTCATTCATTTTACTATGTATATATACGTACATTTGAATCCTGTTCATTGACTCACACACTCGCTTGCCCGCTTGCTTTTCGGCACTACTCTTTCATGCTTGCTTAGCGTACCTGTAATTTTGGTTATCTGTGCGTGGTGCAACAATAAACGTAATCAACACTTCGTATTCGCCTTCTGATTGATACGCCGTTGGAACGTTATCTAGTGACTTATCAGAACGAACAGTGTACGAAGTTTCAAGATTATATTGAATACTGACCACCACAATCTTCATGCTATGATTGAGTTCAACTAGGAATTATGACATATTTCATTAAATCGTGTTTTTTTCAATGTTTACCTCGGTTTTCAACTTCTACCTATGTTGATTTGAAAATTTCAACTTTATTGTTACAGTTAATATAATAGTGATTCCAGACTGAAAATTAGAATACACTTTGTGTGTTATTATTGAATTGGTTTATTTGATAAATACTAGATTAATATCAGATGGGGTTTTTGTGTATATTACAGTAATTTTAATAGTTGAGATCATGAGCCAATTGAAGCTAGACCATCATAGAAAACCTGGAAGCACTAGTATGGGGCACCTCAGCAGTGTGCATCCCACAATAGGACGAAACGGCCGTCCAGTGCTTCCAGGTTATCCGTGGTGGTTCAGCTTCAATCGACTCATGATCTCAACTAATGAAATACTAGATTCCATTACTAAATTAAATTATCATTTCTGTTACCAATTTTTATTCAATTCTCAATTAACATTTCTATTCTAATTGTATTTATTTTTATTATTTAGATGTTTTAGAAAAAGAAACACTATTCCAAGAAGATTTTTTAGCGATACGTTTAGTTATATCTGCACTACGTGCACATTTCACTTCTGAATCATTTTATTCACAAATTCACAAAACTCCTACAAGAACTAATTTAGATTGGTGTCTTAAAACTACTACATCAACAAACAATACTAATGATATCAGTAATAATACTTTATTAGATACAAGAACATCATCAACATCGTCACATTCATCATTATCCTCATCATCAACAGCTAATGATACACAAAACAAGTTGGAAGAAACTATCATTAGTACTAGTAATGGTATTAGTAGTAGTCGAACTCACAATTATAATCGTTATCATCATCATCATACAGACCAACCATATCAATCTCCACAATTTAGTATTAGAATGCCCGATAATCAAGTTCTAAACTGTCATGAAAATTTTAGTCAAATAACTAAACCAAGATTATCAACAATTGGACGTTTATGGGCTTTAGGAGGAAAAACCATGACAACAACACGTGCATTACAAGAAATACTTGTAAGTTTAATAGATTCGAAAATAAATTCAATGATACAATTACTCTATATAAGTAGATTTGATAAGATTAACATCTTATAGCATTATATTTGGTTTATCAGATATATATGATAAATGAGTTAATTATAATGAAGTCTATAAAGTATGAATAATAACTATTCAAAATCGTTTAAGCTATTTTGTTGGTTAATTAGTTGTAAATATGAACTGACAAGTTGAGTGAATAATAATTTTAAAAGTAAACTATAACGCTAAAATACAGCCTTTCAATAAGTTTCAAACTTATAAATGACTCTGTTTATGTATCCTTTATGTTAAATTGATACTGTTTCCTAATAATATTTAAGTTGAATTACACTGTAGTTCGTTTAACATTATATGATTAGAGGTGGGACTATGATGTGTGGACGACCTTCAAGCGACGCCAAAGTGACCTTCAGAATGTCCACCTACTAACTAGGACTAAATGGGTGTTACAAATCAGTGTGAGGAAATAGAATTATGATTTGTAGTTGATGGTTAGGGTTAGGAATTGGACTTAGGGTTTTCATCACGAACTGACATCAGCTATAATGCCATAACGTTATTTGGCCAAGTGGATGAATGAATTTTGCTCCAAAATCCAAGAGTAGTTATCTTATATTTTATTCGTTCGTCCAGAAATTATAATCTTGCCTTTCTCTTATTGATTGTAAATACAGAACAAAGGATGATCATTAACATATACTTCTGATTTAAATCGAAACAAAATAAAGACATTTAGTTTGAGTGTCTTGCTTAATGAGACTGATACCATGACTACATAGAATTGGTTCTCTTTATGAATTTGAATAAAGCCAAAACAACAAATAATGTAAAATGTCAAGAAGAGTTATATGTAATCTACCCTAAAACATAGTTTTTATGAGTTCTTACAGTTTTGCCTCTCTTGTGATAGAAATAAAGAACTTCAGGCTCTTGATACAGTTCTATAATTGCTAACCAACCTATATCGATGAAATAATTTCATTTTTCTCTGACCAATCATGTATTTTATTTTGATAGTAACATCCATATATAATGGGATTAGTAGCATTGTGTTAGATTCAATTCAGTTAAAATTATCAACCAATAATACAGTTGACGTTAGTGGTAATACTGACTGGTTATCACTTCCCCTAAGAGAGATTTCATGTTTACTTCTTAGAAAAAATGAAGAGGTATTAACCCAAAGAGTATAAAGTCATGAATTTCATCTTTTATAAAATTTGGTCGTAGTATTTGAACGATGATAATGGTGACAAAAAGAAAGTAAGTAAAAGGCAAATGGAAATATAAAGTTTAATCACAGTGTTAGTTTAACATTAAGATCAATTTTTGAAAAAGAGTTTAGAGATAGAAACGTAGTTGTGACAATAGTCGAACATTAGCATATTGTTTTATCTACCCCAAATGTTATAAATTCACCTAAAAATGTAGTTCAAAAAGTATTTAACAGGTATATAGATGAAACAAATAGACTATAATTTATGTCAAATCAATAACTGGTTTTTTCCAACCCTAAAAAATCAATTTTTTAATCTCTTTTCCAAACAAATTCAAGGAATATGATCCATACTGGAATACTTGGCGTACAATTGGTCAATTACCAGGTCAAAGACAACAATGTGGCTGTACTATATTAATAGATGGACGATTATTAGTTGTCGGAGGTCGAGATGAATTGAAAACTTTAAGTACTGTTGAATGTATTAATATTGAAGAAATATCTCAATTGAATGAATGTGCAACAGATTATGGAAGAAAAGTTAGTAATAAATTATCATCGGAAACTTTATCAAGACCTAGAGCAATAAGAAATCGTTCAAGACAGAATAGTACAGATCGCAATGAACCTGATGGTAATAATACTAATCAATTAGAATTATGTGTTGAATCGGCTAGTACTACTCTTACTTCTACAGGAATAGGAACGTACAGATCAGAACAACAAGGACAATCTAATTCACACAACTGTACAACATCATCGATTAATAAAGAAGTACAAAATAAAGAAGAACAAGGCAGTTGGAAAATTGTCTCAGCAATGGCAACACATCGGTATGTGTAGATAATTAATACTTTTGGCTAAAATAGGAACACTAATGTGAGCTTATTTCATGAGATGTCAGTTGTTTCATGTATAGGACTTTCAAAAGTGTATCGCCGTAAGTAGTACATGAACAATTCTTAATAAGAATAAAGAATCTTAATTAATCTCACCTGATATTTATGAGTATTTAGATACGTAAGGATTTTAAATGGGATGGTCTTTCTACATAAAAACCCTTAATCAATGTTAATATTCTAATTCTATTGCTCAGTGGAGTGATTTCTACTTGTCTATAAAGAATGATCTGTCTTCTCTCTTTACTTTTAACATGAATTCACTGAGAAATTAAACTGTCATGAAAAATATTACAAAATTTACGGTACGCTAAACCTATGTCCTTCAAAACACTCCTCATTTATGGTCATCAACTTGTTTTATCTCCGTTTTTACGGTTCAAGACATCCATGTTTGTTCATATAAGACATTCTTTTCATCTGCTTCGTCGTCTCATTATTTATCTCTCAACCCATGTTCTGTGACTACATCTCACTGTTGTGGAAATATGGACATAGTTCGGTTTTTCGCACATTTTTGTCAGGTATAGACCTTTGGTCGCCAGCCTTAAAGTACTATCTGATTAGTCATTTGGTCAGTTATTTCTATAACTAACGATCTCGGTAACCCAGTTTGTATGTTTACCGAACCGACTACGTATATATCCGAAGTGTTTTTAATAATCATAGAGAATTGTCATGGGGTTTAGTACATCCATTTGACAAATCTTCATAAACAACCTCTAATTCACTCCTGAAATTATTCAGTGTGGCTTTTCCTCAGAAGCTAGTATTCATCAAATGTTTAATAATGCAAAATTTTGATTGATTCTAAACTTACGGTAAGCGGATTTGAATTACTTTCATTTATGCAACTCATCATAGGCTTAAGATGTTTTGTAATTGATTATGAATCACTGGTTATTACCATTTGACATTGTTATTCGGGTGTTGATATCGCGTTTTGATATCCAGTTTGAAGACTGTTTTCTTTACAAACCGACATCAGTTTAAAAACCATTCAGAATAAAGAAGCATTGGACGGCTATTTCATTTGAGACTGGTTTTTTTTTCAAAAGTCAGTACCCAAGGCCCCTCAAATAGTCGTTCTTAGGGCCCTTGAATTTCATGGTGGTCACAATACCTATAGACTATTCATCAGCGTATTTAACTAAATAGTGACTGAGACAAAGAGTCACGGAAACCATCGGTTGAAAATCACATTGTATCAGAAAATGACTGAAGTTTAAAGTATAGATCATAGGTTTTATTCTCTATTATATAAATGTATGTTGCTTGTAAAAGACCTGAAAGTTGTGGATTCATTTCGGTACACTTCTATGAGGTTCTTAACTAAGATGGAATCGTTATTCATCTTAATTCTTCAACTCCAATTTTCCAGATTTTATTTACCAATAAAAAGTGAATCTATGCTGTTCTCAGTTATATATAGGTTCAATAAAATATTCATGCATGTATCTGTCAATTTGTCTTAAGAGTACACCTCGTACCTAAGTAAAATGTACATGTGTTATTATTACTCAAGAAATGTGATATTTTCTTGAATTTATCAGTGGAGTATTTCTTCTTTAGAGTGTAGTGTTTGTCACTATTTTAAGCCCAAATAACTTATTCTAGCTTCTGGACAGGTTAATTTATTAATTCTTCTTGAGTCACATTTTAACCTTGTTAATTATTCGCTTATCGACCCTGACTGTTTTTGTATGAGCGTATGTGTGTACAGTTCTTATCCTATCACATGTCTGTAACGTACTTTTATCTGGCTAGAAATATTGGCTCACATGTCTTCACTGTGCGCCATGTTGCTTCACTCTCTTTTCTTCGTTTCCTTTGCTTCGTTCCTCTGATTGTTTGTCCAAATCAAAGACTGTACAAAATATACGTATTCAAATATCCATACGCGTATTTGACTTATCCAATTCCTTTATTCACCAACGCGATTCAGGTTGATAATTATTATATGCAAGGATTGGCGAAATGTTTATCTTAATATCAATCATGCGTACGATCCAAATGGAATCAGATTTCGGGCCACTAAAAGAGTATGAATAATTATACTAATCACTTACTATCCAATAATATAAATTAGTACGCATATCTTCAAAATTAAGTTCAGTCACTTTATAGTATTGTAATTTTGTCACATAAGTAGTTAATAAATAAAATGAATAAATTGACTGTAATTGATTTAATTAAAATAAAGTATACTTTTTCTATTATTATGCATCTATTTTATTTATTCCATACTGTTACTATCTGGAGATAGTTAGTCGTTCAATTATTCATTTATTAAACCCATGTTAAACTTATCTACCACGAATATTAACTGTGTACAAATATTTTCCATGTATTTTTTATTAAATAGTTCTTTTAAATCTTTCATTAGTGTTATATAGAAAATAGAAGTCAAATGGAGTGAATCTACTTGCTGTCCTATTTCTAGACTCTTCACTTTTTCATTAATTTTACATCTAACTTAAAATCCTTATGTTTTGTATAAATTTATTTGGAATTAATGATAAAGAAGTTATAACTTTTATATCCTATAAACCGTCAATTATTACGTGATAAGATTGTCATTCAGAACACGGATTTGTACGGCCTTGGCTCTGTGCCAAACCACTGATGTGTTGACCAGTACTAGCAGCCTAAAGTCAATTCTGAGTCCTTATTAGTTCTTCCCACCTAGCGTTATCCATCTGAGTCCAAAACACAAATATCAGCTTTCACTGTATGGATCGTATATTTCAAACATACTTGGCTTATGCTTAAGCAGATCAGATCGCATCACATAAAATGAAAAATAATTTTTATACAAGATCAAGCCAAAATTGGTTGTGAGTGTGAGAGACAGTAACTAATAGATTGGGAATAACTTAAAAATAGTAAATCGTATAATTATTTTATTATTTGAACACATAGATATTGGTACAAGGAGGCACCAAATACATATGCGCCACACAAATCTCATTCGATATGTATGAGGGCTGTGATACTGCTCGGGTGCCCAAACCGAACCAGATGGTTTTCTTAGGGGGCTACTCCCCGAGCCTTCGACCTGAAGGTCTGATCCACAAGGCAGTGGAGCAACGTCAGGAGATGCAATCCCATGGTAGCCGGTGACCGACAATTGGTTAATACGCCATTGGTTCCTTCAGGATACTGGAGCCCATGTGCACCATTGGCTTGGAATCCTGTTAAAGCGCCGGACATTCGCTTTTCGTCCTCTCATTTTCATAAACAACACCCCCGCCACGAGAAGGCAGTGAGTAGGACTTCCCTGTCAGAGACTATATACGCGTGGCCATGTGAGAGCATTTCGAGAGGGAGAGCGGACTCTCCCCACTTTCGGCCGTACCAGGGCATAAGTCAAATGGAAGCTTATAATAGGAGAAATATAAATATATGTAATTTAGTTACCTAATAGTCATACAATATATATATATATAATAACAGTCCATAAATAGTTTCCAGAAGTTACCCATAATTTAATCTTCTCCGGACACAACAATATGTACCATTAAACTTGAAGATAATCATAGTATAACACTATAAATTCCAGATATTATGACTTAATACTCATTATAGTTTCCTCTTCAGTTTACTGATAAATATTTTACTATTTTTTCATAGTTATTGGAATTTATTAGGATGGTTAGCCTGTTAAAGCGAGCCATTATTCAATGGAGAATCGATATCATTATTAGAAAGAATTTGAGTTATCCCACTGTTGATAGTCTTCTGGTTGCCTTACTTAAATAAATTCATGATCTTAATGTAACTGACCTATGTAAATTGTGTGCAGATTGCTTCAGTATAGCCATTTTGGCGAGATTATAATTTATGGACGAACCAATCACGTATAAGATAACAAATCTAGGATTCTCGTGCTAAATTCGGTCACCCATTTGACTAAATAGAGTTATGACATTATAGCTGATGTTAATTCGTGATGAAAACCCTAAATATAATTTTTAACCTTAATCACATTAACTGTAAATCATAATTCTAATTCCTCACACCGGTTTATAACCCTCATTCGGTATCGGATATTAGGTGGACACTCTCAAAGTCGCTTTAGCATCACTGAAAGTTTGTCCATAAATTATCGTCTCACCTCCACTTTTCACGGATACAGATACATCCAACCAACATGTTCTAAACAAAACGAAACGCGCGTCTTGAATTTCATTCCTAGCCGCAAATCAATCTAATCTATAAAGACAATAGAAGCCTGTTATTAGTATTAAAAACGATAGAATAGATATGAAAAATGTCCCCATGTGTAATGACTTCATTTTAGAAATATTTACAGAATTCATTTTTTCCTTGCAAATAAACGATCAAGTTTTATACTACAATAATAAATTTTGATATATCTATTCTAAAGAATCTAATTATGAATATTATGTATTATACACAGTCATTTAATAACATCAATAACCTATAATGTATAGTTAAAATAGAAGGAAATGAGGTAAAAACAATTAAATTCAGACATAAATAACAATTTAAATCTTAATTTACTTTAACTTAAGGGTAAACTAAAAAATCAACCAATAATTCAACTAACATGCTACCAGTGCATAAATTCATATGTTGATCTGAGTTATAAAGCAAAATCGACACCTTATATCTTACTGGTCTATAAAACATTAGATAATACTGTTGTGAGATGGTAACTCACTGAAGACAATGGTGGATGTATCGCACAATTTCGTGGATTAGTTGAAGTTAGACATTAACACTGATGGATCTAGAGTTTGAGCGTTCCCGCACGAAACTGATAAATCCTGGGTTCGGATCTCACGAGGCAGTGTCTTGGATGCGCACTGCTGAGGAGTCCTACAATAAGACGAAACAGCCATTCAGTGCTTCTAGGCTTCCCATGGTGATCCAACTTCAATGGACTCATGATCTTAATTATTGATAGTACTGATTTGTTGAATTTCATAAAATCACCTGATACAATCTATTTATCTAAGAAACACATTTCCAGCGTTAAACATTTGTTTGTACAGATCAGAAAATTTACTTACCATACATTTTATTAAGTGGTATGTTTATAATTATTTCAAAGCCTATAGGTCTTAAATAGATTCAGTAATTTATAGTTATCACGATAATTTTCACTACATAATTAACACATCCTTATTATTACATGATATACATATATATATCCATATTGAAGACTAAAAGGTGATATATGTATACATGCAACAAATAATCACCTTCTTATGGGTAACATTAAGAACTGTATACGTAATTATATAATCCTAATTACGAAACGGATTTAATGAAACATTAAGCGAAATGTTCAATTTATATTCCTAAAATATAAATGATTATTCTCCCATTATAGTCTTTTTTATGTAAGAAAACTTTAAAAAAACTTTCTTTTCTCTTATTTTAAATTTCCCACCGTCGAACCCAAAATTTTTAAAGCTTATATCTACATAAAAGAGATAGTGACATTAATAAAGTAAATAATTGTCAAAATAAGTTGTTGCTTTATTTTAATGAAAAGAAATTAAAAATAAAGTAGGGGAGGGAATTGACTCTTTAAAAATTCGATTAACTCCTTGAGTCATATGTTTAACTTTTTAACAGAATATAAGTTTGTGGAGATTGTTCATTTTCAAGTTACTCTTCGTTACGGATTAAAACCAGCTGGATACCTACTGACTGTCCCAAAATAAGTGTTTAAATCTTCCCGCTGTTGATGTTACGAATTGGAGTTGATCAGTTTCTTTTGTCATATAAAGATCCTGAGCAAATCTCCTCGATAGTCCTTTCAGGTTATAATTATTTTTAAGAAAACCATTGGTACTCGCTACCAGTGAAATTCAAGACATGCATCTAGTCCTACTTTGAGCTCGTCAAATGAATTTACTATTTTTGTTCTAGCTTGAAAGATTAAAGTAGTATGTTCACGAAACCACATAGGTTATGGAACTATAAACTTTATGGCTCATTAATCTAAATAGTTTATATTTCTTGCGATACTTAAGGGTCTTGAATTTTATCCCAAGTTGTACAGTGCTTTATAGTTTTAATCTAAAACAGGATTCGTACTAAATTCTCTGTAATACTCACGGATTCTCCTACTAATTTTAGCTTATTGTGAAAACAGATACTGTGTAGCCTTAAGGCTTGTTTTTTGTTAGAATTATAACCAAAGTCATAATAATTTAGTTCATAAGTATTTATTAATCTTCACTTGACCGACTGAAACCGTAACCTTAACTTGCATTAGTGTCTAGTGCTGAAAAAGCCACCTGTTAGACTACAAGTTAATGAATAAGTCCAAATACATATGAACAGTTAGTTGCATCACGTTATAATATATGGGAAAGCAATTTACTTTAATGATCTCTCTTTTTCACTAAATATTCAACAGATATAGATGCCAGTGTAGGGGTTGTGGAGATTGTTAAGTTTTTGATTGAGATCATGAATCAATTGATGTTAGACCACCGTTGGAAACCTGGAAGCACTGGACGGCCGTTTCGTCCTAGTATGGGACTCTTCAGCAGTGTGCATTCACGATCCCGCTCCCTGCGAGATTCAAACCCAGGACCTATCGGTCTCGCGCCCGGCGCTTAACCAACTAGACCACTGAGCCGGCATCCAATGGTGTTAGTGTCTAACACCAACCAATCCACGAAATTGCGCGACCAAATTCCATTGTACTGAGGTAGATACCTGTCTCTACCCGACACGGATTAGCTCCACTGGTCACGGCTTCTCACTAGAACTCCGAGAATTCCCTCACGAAGCTAGTCACTAGTGAGCACCAGGCACTTAACCACTAGACCACTGAGCCGTCATCCAACGGTGTTAATGTCCAACTTCAACTAATCCACGAAATTACTATAATAACCACAAAAAATACTTTTCATAAACAGTAAACTACAAATTTACTGAATATAATGAAATTTAAATTGGTTACATCTTGCAAATTGACTTTATTTTGTGTGAGAGATTTACACGAAAATATGCAGATTACACCATAAAGACTAAACAATTTATTTTGAATAGGTTACATTTTATGAATTTCATCTTTCATACCGAAACAATTCTGTGTAGTCTCAATAACTTTATTGAAAGCTTTAAGGTGACTATTTAATGCGAATGATTTATTTATTTTAATTATGAGGACTGATTATTCTCTCTAGTTCACTCAATAAAATGAATATAACTTAAGAGTTCTGTAATACTGTTTACAATCAATTAGATCAGATATATTTGCTTATTCTCATCACTATCTTTTTTATTTTTTGAATCATAGACATGGTCTAGGAGTAGCCGTTTTGGAAGGTGTTGTCTATGCAGTTGGTGGACATGATGGATGGTCTTATTTAAATACTGTAGAACGATGGAATGGTAAAGCGAAAGCCTGGTCACCTGTTACTCCAATGGCTGTTCAACGTAGCACAGTTGGAGTTGCTGTTCTAGAAGGACTGTAAGTGATTTAGTTATTAAATTTTAAAATAAATAACAAACAATCAGTTAAACATTTATTTGCCGAAATGTACAAAATTTGAAAGACCAGTGTCATAGCTTTAGCGTCAATATAATTAACAAGGAGCAATAATCTACTTCATTTCATTCCGCAAGCCAGTGAATTAATTAGATAACACTATGGTACTGGGTTCAAGTCCTAGAGTGAATATCAACTCTGGGATTCAGGTACATTCAGTTAGTTTGCTCTTCTAACTTCAATCAATTCTCAGTATTGGACAAACGTCTTTTAATATCATTTGTAGATAACTGTCTTGCACTCAACATGATTGAGTTCCACTGATCATGGTTTCTGGGTAGTCCTCGGAGTTCTAGTTAGCAAAAGAAAATTACCTCATTTACAGCTCGTAACAGTTCTTATTCTCAGTTTCCCAATGATGACTTACCTAAGCATTGTAGTGTGACGTCGAGTCGCGGTTGACTATGATCACCACTACAGGAAGACTACGTGCCAGTTAACCGATAAGATCCCCCGTAGACGAAATATCAGAGGGCAGTTGATGGTTGCAGTCGAGATGTATTTGTTGGCGATCTCGTGGTATCGAAAGAATACTGAGATCGTGCCAAGTTACAAGTGTGGTTACTGAGCGTAACCGAATTCGTGCAAGGTCAAAATCAACGGAAGAATGTATTTATTTGGTACAGTTAAACAAACAAGTACGGTAAAACAATCCCTGGTACAATTAGTTATAACATTAATTGTTTTCATTAAACTAATCGCGTTCTCTTGATAACAGTAGTTCACTACAGCATAGTGAAAAGCTTACTATTCTGTGTCTGAATAATATTTGATTTGACGATAAAATGCAATAATAATGTCTCAAGCCATAATATATTATAACTTTGATATTACTTTTCACCATATATCATATTAAATAATCATTTGAAGTCCAAAAGTACTGAATAACTGTTTAATGTTAAGCCATGATGTTAGGCACTTTTGACTTTCACGAAGCAGGCATTCATCAGCAAATTATCGAACCAACCATAATAAGTGAAACAATCCACAGTATAGAGTTAATTTTTTTTTAAATCTTTTGTATGCTACCGATTATCCAACCCTGACTAATGATAATAGTAGTGACCTTATGTTCATTCTTTTCCCTTCACCTGTTATTACCCATAATTTTGGGCAAACAACTTCAAGTTATTAATAACATACTAGATGATATTATAAACCACATTAAACTGATCAATTAGGTCAATAGTGATAGAAGATGTCTGTTTAAAATGTATTACACTTCTTGATAGATTGTATAATGTTAGTTTAATGTTCTATTCTAGCTGTCTTTTAACATAGAAATCGAAAAAAAATGTTTCACAATCAGTTATTCTTTACTATTTTTTTTCTTCATTCCTCTAAATCATAGCATATGTCTGTCTATGAATAAATATAGTATTTCTCTCTTAAGTAAGATACAATGTGATCTTATTAGTCTACTTTCTTCACATAATTCTTGAACTATCGTTTAATATGGTTATGTTTTATGAATGTTTCACGAAAAAAAAGTAAAAAAATGTTCTCTTCTGTTTATCTGTCTGTTGATTTATTACATATGTTATGTTTCATAATAAGTTGGTCGGTTATTTTATCTAAAAAAGACCCACTAATTTTCCCTTATTATATTCAGGGAAAAGTCACTTAAAGTAGAACACAACTAAATATCATTTATAGTTAATAATAATAATAATAATAAACTGTATATCTGACTAGAAACAAGTAGAACTTACTACTTATACAATAAAAAGCTTTGATATTTGTTTAAATCATCTCCACTTTGTAACGTTATTGAATGAATATTGATGTTATACTAGACAAACGAATTAATGTCACTCCTAATTCCATTATATTAGTCTAATAGATTGAAATGCTCAACTCCTGATGGCACGCAAATTGTGTATATATACCATTAATTAATTACAAATAAATGATTGTAAATTGTTCTTAGTTGACCGAATGTTTGTTTGTGAGTCGATCATCGTCTCTCTAGGTATCCTGATCAAATTAAGGTTTAATATAAAAGAATCAGATAAGAGAAGAAAATACTGCTTGTATGTTAATATCTTATACTCTACGGCCGTATTTATTACCGCCTCATGTAACAATATTTATATTGATTGTATTATAAATCTGGTTTCTAATCTAACTGTTTTGTGTTTAGACAGATATTTTGTGGAAAGAATTCATATGGGTTGGTTTTCATCACCGAATAACCTTAGCGCACGATTCAGAGAAATTCAAAAACTACTGGTACATTGTCTTGTCCTAGTTTACATTGCCAACTTTATTGTTGTTCGGCTTGTTAGTTGACAAATAGAAATGATTTTTAACATGGTAACTGACCTAATTGTCAAGCCTATAGAAAGATCAGGGATACACAAACAGTTAGATAGTATTTGCCATTGATACTATAGTAAGCTACTTATATGAATGTTTGTGTATGTCATGTATATATGTGTTCAGATGAACATCAAATGTGAAGGCGGCTTAATTTGGAAACCTTTTTTAGGATTCCATTGACTATTCAGCAAACAAATTTACGTTTTACGGTTATCAACTCTAAATATCTGAGGATGCCTTTCATTTAGTGGCTTACTTTGATTAATCAATACTAGTAACTCAACATTTTGTAACATGAGCATTCAAAATAGATATCTAAGTGTAAAGCATTCTGTTTATCTTAATAGTGTAATGTTATAAAACATGTTTTTACTTTCTATTTATTAGACATACATAATCATCCATTTAGTACAAGCCCCCAATAGCTATTTTGTTTGTCTGTTATTTATAACACTATGAAGTATTTATGGCTTTTAAAAAGTGGATGTTTGTTTTAAAGTTTAAATGCCATTGATTTCAATCAAGAAGCAAGTGTCTTTAAATGGGATTAGTACATCTTTTATCACTGATTTTTAACTGATGTATAGGTGGCCATAAGACTAATTTTATTTCTACTCATTCATAGATTATATGCTGTTGGTGGTCGGGATGGAAGTGCTTGTCTACGAACAGTGGAAAGATTTAATCCTCATACACAACATTGGTGTTTTATTGCCCCCATGTTGCATCGTCGTGGCGGAGTTGGAGTAGGCGCTATTGGTGGACGTTTATATGCAGTTGGTGGTCATAATGCTCCACCAAATCAGCCTCATGCACTAAGAACAGCTAGTGTTGAAATGTATGAACCACGCACTGATATGTGGACAGAAGTATGTGCTTTGTCATCTCCAAGAGATTCTATTGCCGTGGCTCCGCTCGGTTATAAACTATATGCTTTAGGTGGACATGATGGACAAGCTTATACGGATCGTGTAGAAGTATATGATCCAGAAGAAAATAAATGGACTGAAGTAAGTTATCTTCTGAAAAATATTTATATTCCTACTATAGTGGACCCCGATCCAATGAAAAATTATTTGAATTTATTAGTGTTTGACATTTGTAGAGATTATTGAATAAAATAGTTTAAATCACATACTGATTTTAGCTAAGTAATCATTGAAAGCCGGGAAACACTGGACAGTTGATTCATCCTAGTATGCGTGTTTACAACCCTATGTAGGATCAAACTCAGGACATTACGCGACCACATTTCATTTCCCTTGGCTAGTAACCGCCTTACATGCAACATAACCTAACTCCGTCAGTCACGGTGGTGGTAAACCGTTGAGGTTCTTCTTAGTTATCTAACTACTAAGCTCTCACTGTGAGATCTGAAATCCTTGAGTTTGGCCACGAAGGATTGTTGAATGCATATAAATAGAACAAAACAGCTGTCCAGAGATTGTTGGGTTTTAATGGTTGTCTAAAGTCAGTTCGTGATGTAAATTATCTTCTTTTAGATGGTTAATTATGTGAATTAGTTTTTAAATCTACCTAAAACCTTACGCTTATGAACACTGTGACAGGTTCAACTATTATTTGATACAAATGATATTTTTATTTAAGCCAGTTTATATAATTAATGTTTATTGTTGATTATTATCTAGTGTATTAGTTAAAACTGTTTACCATATTGAATAGAAATACCTTAGTAATAAAATATCTAAACTTAACGTCGTTTGATGTATGATGGCAACTCAAATAAGATACAATTTTACTAAATGACTCACGAATACTTTCTTAATTAATTTCAAACAAGTATGAAGATAATATATAAATAATTCACCATAAATTGCCTTAGGGAATTAACCATACCGAATATTTGATTAAGTCAACCATGTTGATTGACAAGTCATCTAATTATTGTTTGAGTTCAGTTATGTTCCGCCTGTAAACATAATGTAAGACAAATAGTGAGACGACTTCCTTATTAAAGTCATTATTTACCGATTAAGTAATGAGAATGCATCTCCAGAGTGAAAGGCATGTACATATTACTAATTCCGTTTGAATTACTAAATAGAGTTGTTTACTTTTAATGAAAACGTAAACCAACATGAATCAAAACTGTGAATGTCAATACTCAAGTATACTATCAGAATGTCTCATTATAAAAAATATTTACTAATTTTAAAGATAAGGGTCATTTGAGTAATTAACATTTCTGATTTTACGATAAAAAATTGAACGAGGAAATAAATGTAACACAGTTCTATGTATCATAGATACAATAAAGTATAATGTTGCTATTCCATACATACAATTCATATTAAACTCCACAAACTCTGTGTATCAAACCTAATTATCTTGATCTTACCTTAAGATGAACCATAAATTTGACAAAACAAAAGCGCTTCCCATGTATACATTTGCTTATAACAATAATATTTGTCTGTTTGAGTTAATACTTAGTGTTTATTCTATTATTTCACCGTTAACAATAATCCTAATCATCTTTTATTATCTTTGATGTTTTGATTTTAATTGCTTCTTTTTTTTTCAGGCAGCTCCATTACCAAGTGGACGAGCAGGAATCGCTGTAGCAGCTAGTGGACCAGGTGTCACTGATACTAATTTCAGTATAAAATTATCTTATCATAAAGTAGATCCACTTATTTAATTGAATGTGATCATATCACATGAAACCAAAGAACATAACTTGGTTGGATAAAACACTTTTTTTTTAAAAATCCATTATTTAAAATGTCTGTATATTGTAATCATTCGTTTTAATTTAATTCACTCATTTAACAGTTTGTTTGTTTGTTTTTTGAAAGAAAAAACATAATATCGTTATTGAATGTATTTTAAATTGATATAAGATTTATCTGGTCGACTTCAGAACATTTTGGAATAGACTCATGATGAAGTGCTTTAATTACTTTCAGATTACACTGTAGATAAAATGAGGTTTGGATTAACAAAATGTTGTAAGAGATTCTGTTAAAAAGCCACCTCGTAAAGTTTACAAACAGAAATTATTTTTAAGTAGATTGATCAAAATAAGCCTATACAGTTTACTACGATTGACCATAGTTATTTATGCCTTAAATATCACTAACGAGATTGAAATAATCTGAAAACCAAATAAATTTTATTTGATAGGGGGTTAAAACGATGCGATTTAAGGGGGGGGGTAAATCATTTCTGTGATTGGTTCACAAAGTTTGCGAGTCTCAAGCATATTTTTTAAACAACACGTTTTCGTGGGACAGAATACCCTTTTATTACTTTGTTGCACTTTATTTTATCACAAAAACCTACCATATTCAGTCTCGTTATATGCCCCACTGCCCTTTACAACATCGATTTATCTGAGGCTCCCGGAAACAAAATTAAAATATTTAAGGTTTGTGATTATTTTACTACAAGTTCGTTGCCATTTAGTCGAAAGAATTATTTCATCGACGGTAGTGTTGAATAACAGTGAATTTAGAAAAAACGGCTCTCGACCCAACATTTTGTATTGACTTGGATCCACAGTCTGTATCGTTTGTTTAAATCATTCACGTTATTATAATTTACAATATATACAGACTAAGTACTTCGGTGTTTTGTCAAAAAATATCTTTATTTCTTTGAAGAGTTTTCTTCAGCAATCATCATCACAAGAAGAACTATTAAAAACCAGAGAAACATCGGACGGTCGTTTCGAAAATTTTAGGACCCTCCACTATTGTTTATACACAACTATACATTAGCAAGAAATCCATGATCTTACGGTTTAATGAAGATGACTACAATACCCTTAGGTAAATAGTTTCCAATCAACTAGTTCATATATTCATCTTCAGTTAATCTTTATGATAAATTTTGTGAGCCCTAGCATATTATATATTTAGTGGAACTAACCACTGATATCTGACGTGTTATCTCTCCTCTTGTGCGAATGTCCTAACTTTGTTATTTAATATAACTTGATCATATTGATTAAGTACATAGAAATTATGACATTTTGTTGTATTCAAGGCTCAATGGAGAGATCAATTTGTATCAGGGTTGATGTTTTCACTTTTGTATGCATAAATATCAAACTATTATAAAGTTTAACGCTGTTTACTTTATGGTATGATGTTCAGTGATTTGGTATTATTAAAGGCAATTCATAACTAGATTACCGAACTATAGCAACTTTCCTACAATTAATTCCGATTATGGTTAATTTTTGTCAAGCCATTTGATTAACTTATTTAACAGACAATGTTATTCGAACAGTAACAATTTGTCTACCTCTTTTGTATTATTATGATCACTATCATGTCTGTATAAACGTGTACACTCGATCACATGTGATAGCCTACGCACATACCTCTAGCTTAAATATCATTCTCTTTACCATATATATATATATGTTCAAATCCTATGAATAGCCTTTACCATGCCTCTCTACGCTTCGATTCGATTTGACTATAAATCCGCCTCTGTATTCGCTTGCTCACACATATTGGCGTCTGCTCAAATTCGCTCGATGCGCTTGTAACTTTTTTATCTGCACTACTTAATAATAAATTGTAGTCACCGAATCTTATTGCTGTTTGAATTCAAACACCGTTGAGATTTATATAATAACCGTAACCAAGGTGATTGATTAACGAAGCTAAACCATTACAGGTCTACCTTACTACTAAATTATTCATGCTAAAAAACTAAAACTACAGCTAAATATGTTTAATTTTGAAAGTTCCTCACCACTGTCACCATTAATATATCATGATAAATAATTAGAAATGCTTTGATTTAAAGAAAAAATCTGAACAGTTTATATAGTCTATGAATGTAAAAGACATTTTTAAGGTTGTTCTGTTGCTATGCATCTATCAGATCTATATAATCTAAAACATAAATCGATCAATGTGTACTGTGAACTAGAAAAACCTACTGTGTTGAAAAAAAATGAAAAAAAAGAATGTACAAATGTTCTTAGAACATTCCAATAAAAAAATCATCAAGTGGATATCCATTTAATTTATTAATTTTAATTATGTTTCACATAAACATTGAGTTAATTCAATATAAAATATCCCTAATTATACAGTGATTTGATTGAATTATTTATCGGTTAAATAGTTGAACTGGTAAATTTTATTAATTTCCTTTAGTTTTATCGTAATGTTGACTAGTGTTAGGGATGATTGGAATAAAGTTAGAGCTCAGCCAAACCAAAACGTGGCATCAGTGCTTAAAGTTACTAACTTCTGGTATGAGCCATGTTGGTAGATACAGACTACTTGGTTGGGGTCCACGTGACTATCGTAACCGATGGTTGGAGACTGTCCGTGACATGGTTCAGAATCGATCACAATGATGTAGGTGTATACACTCTTTGTCCTTCTTTAAACTATGTGAGTAAAATCGTTTTATCTTCTTTCTTTCTACGAACTAATTCTTCCCTCTTGTACTATATCCTTATATGCAATCTTTCTTTTATATATTACTACTACTGAAGTAACTAGTTCTATGGATCCGGTGTTCATCTTGTTGTGTTTATGCGGTATGGCAACTTGGACCGATGCATATATGTGCCTGGTACTACATTTTAGCTGATTGACTGACTTAGTTTTGTACAAATGATCTGAAAAAAACACATTGTGAATTAGTAAACTAGTCAATAGTTGGTACAGTTTGTTTTTCTTGAAGCAAATTAGAATGCACTTATGCATTTAATAAGTAAAATACAATAATCAGTTCTTACATAGTAATATATCAGTTTTTGCTATAGTTTAAATCGAATGTTACGTAATGTACTTTTTTGTATATAAGTTTAATCTTAATAGTTGAATTCATGAGCCGATCTAATCTAGACCACCAATGAAAACCTGAAATCATTGGACAGCCGTTTCATCCAAGTATGGGACCCTTCAGCAGTGCATATCTACGATCCTGCACGCGAGACTCGGACATAAGTTTGACATAATATAAAAATTTTATTTATTACTAACAAGTGACTAATATTATTATGATTGGCGTTTTAACAGTCGATTCATATATTCAATTTAATACTGAACAGAAACACATAATTGAAATCATTTGTTGTGAGAAATTTTCCTTCAATTCGAAATCGCATTTAAATTAAAAACAATGTTTTAATGTTTACTTTGTGCACCGTACTCAGAGTTATTTGTCATTCTGCTATTGTTTAATAAAGTGCAATTTTTATTGAAGATTTCATTCAAAGCCGTAATGTCTAACATACTTGTGTTTTCACCTAACATATCAGGATGTGCTACACCGAAATTGTTTAATAAAAGACAATTCTGAATTATAATAGTTGAATTTACGGGTCACTGTAGGCTAGATCACCATTGGAAACCTGAAAGCACTGGAAGGCCGTTTCATCCAAGTGTGGGACTCCTCAGTAGTGCACATCCATGGTGCCACGTGCTGGACTCTAACCCAGGACCATCGGTTTCTCATGCGAACGCTTTACCTCTAGACCACTGGGCCGGTATCCAACGGTGGTGTTGTCTAACCAATCCATGATCTTGCGCAACCATTCGCCCATTATCTGAGTTGGATACCTGTCTCTACCCGACACGTATTGGATTCTACTAGTCATGGCTTTTCACTGGAACTCCGTGAAACCCATCTTGAACACAGTCACTGACGAGCATATGATTATTATTATTATTAGAATAGTGGTTTTACTAGTTAAGTTCATGAGTCGATGTAAGCTTGAACACAATTGACAGGTATCTACCCCAGACAGTGGATGAATGGTTGCGCAAGATCATATGTCGATTGAAGTTAGACATTAAAATCGTTGGATTTCGGTCTAATGGTCCGGTAGTTAAGCGTTCGCATGAGAGATCTATGGTTCTGTGTTTGAGTCCCGCACGGAGGATTGTAAATGTGCACTACTGAGTAGTCTCATACTACAACGAAACGGCTTTCCAATGCTTTCAGGTTTTCAATAGTGATCTGGTTTACATCGACTCGTGAATCCAACTATTAGAATCATTACAATCTCCACAAACCACCATTTTAATAATAATTGTGGATTACTTCAGCTGAAAACCTAAATAACTAAGTTAAATTCTTTCTAAAGTTTAATCTTAGTAATTTAATACTGGATGATGACAATTTTTTGGTAAAAATATTTTTGGTACTGTCAAAATTGCTATTAGTTCACTAATATCTACTAGGCATCATCATCAATATATGTCAGATTTTCATTAGTGTAATGAGACAATAAACTTGATCTAATCTAACTACACTATTGAAATCTATCAAAAATATTTTTGAAAATAATTCAACATGCATAATGATATTTAACATTAGGAACTGGTATTTCACTTCAATTAGTCGTGACATTAAAAGATTAAGAAAAATCATCAAACATTCAGCAGGTTTTTTTGTTTTTCTAATTTGTCATTCCCAATTTTAAAGAAAGACGGCTCGGATAGCTCAGTGGTAACGTCTCTGACTGTGAAGCTGGGTGACACGAGATCAAATCCGCCAGGGAGCACCAGTTCCCTCAAGATTACAGGTACACCTTGCTGACGAGTGCCAAGTAGCACGAAACCCGGGTCCAGGGTTTCCTGTTGACTACCTCCAACTACCATCTAAATATCAATACATAGTGCCTGCAGTGTCGAGTCACCTAGACTGGTGGCCACATTGCAACATGATCGATAGCATTCGATCTGCACTAATAAGGACTAGACAAGCATGACATTGATCACCACCCAGTGATCAATCAATTGTGAAAGAAAGATTATGCTTAACTATCCCAGGATCATTAGCATTTATAACCAAGTATACCATTTATCTTTCAGAAGAAAAAGAGAAAATTTACATTTCGTTGTTTAAATTATTGACTTGATAAAAATTTAATTGATAATGATAAATACTTTATTGATGTGACTGTTTAATGAGG